TATTCACGTTGCCGTTTCAGTCTGTCTCATATACCATATTATTTTCTTTTTTTGAAAAATAATTATATATTTTAATGTCATTGTAAACTTTTTAATTTTATTTTTTTAAAATTTTAATTAAACTAATTAATTATTTTAATTTTAATTTATAATTATTTATATTATAAAATAATTATTTTTATTAATATATTTTTAATTATTTACTAATTACACACTATTATACATTGTAACAGACACGATAGATGGGAGGACGGAGGCAGTAATTAATTCATTTTCTATAAAAATAAAGTGGACACATTTGAAAGTCCCAAATTTGCTGTTAATGATGGTCTACAAATTTAGGACAGATGTCTAAATACGTAAATTTCTAGAAGCCTAAACCCGCCGCAATTTTTAGATTATAAGCGCCGACCTGTCCTTCTCGCTACTATTTCTTACATCTTACGTCACCAAATTTATATAGTTAATTAATTTAATTAAATTTTTTAGAAAAATTAAATATGTTTAATTAAAATATATAATAATATTTTTGTTTTTTAAAAAAATATTTTCTCCTCCGGCCGTTTTTAAAAATTATATTTACTTTTTGTGTCATTGTATATAATATTAAAAAATATTTATATATTTGTACAAATTTTTGTACAAATATCTTTATGTTAGTATTATAAGACATTAATAAAAAATATTTTTACAATTTTATTTTTTAATTTACAATATGTTTTGATATAATAATTAATATTCAAATATCAATACGCAAAAAATAAATAAAATTTTTAAAGCCAAACGACTGTTGTAATAAACTATGAAATAAGAAACCGACTAAAAACGGCAATATGAACAAAAATTTGACATAGAAGGAGTATTATAATACTCTATTATATCTGTATATATTTTATTACTTATACTAATAACAAATTAAATGTAACTAAAGTTTGATGGGAAAAAAATATATTTTATTGTGTATAAAGGTATGTGAATTAAATATTTTTCAAAATATAATGTATATATATTAATTAGTTCCTCTTTATTTACTTGTTATATATACTTTTTATTATTTTTATTCGTTTAAGTACGCAATAGAAACTTTACTTTTTACTAAATTGATGATACTAAATACCATTAATCTTACATTTATTTATGTTAATATTATTATATTAATAAATATATTATTTCTTATACTCTTATACAAAAAGTAAATTTATACATTTCCGATGTATGAATAAAGTATAAAATAAGGTAGTTATATGTTCATAATTTTATGTGAATATAAATATATTTTATTAGTTGTAATGAGATTATATTTATTACTTTTAATGTCTAGTAAATTTATAAAAATATATATATTTACCTTTTATACAGAATTTAAGAAATATGTTTATTTTAATTATAGTATATAGCTTAAAATAGTGTAAAAATACATTTTTATTTTATTTTTTAAAGTAAAAATAATAGTATAATGATAAATATGTAAAAAATTAGGGATATTTGTATTTGATAGTAGAGTTCATAATTAGTAAAATGATAAAAAGTATATGTTGTTATAGAACATATAAAAATAACAAAATTTATATTCTTACGCGAAAAAAAATTTATTTGTTTTATATTATTTGACCACCATTAATATGACTATTTTTTTCATCTCTTATAAATAAATTATTTTAATTCAATTTTTTTACAATAATACCCTTAATAAATATTTTAAAAACGAATATTTACATTACCATTGAATGAAGATAGTAAATCAAGATATTAATAAAGACAATTAAAATTTATAAAATGAGGGTATTTGTAATTCTAATATTGTTAAAGTGTGCTTCGATTTAACATTTTTTGGCACTTATTTATGAGGTTTTATTATTTTGAAATTTAATTTATTTTAAATTTTATTTAAACACTCATTCAAATGAGTTGATAAAAAGACAAAAGAAATTGAATAAAAAATGACACTCCTTCCGTCTCGACTAATTTATTCTATTTAGATTAGGCACAAAATTTTAGGTATTATATAATTAGTGAGTAATTAAAAAATATATGAATAAAAATAATTTTAAATTAAGATTAAAATTATTAAATAATTTATTTAAAATTAAAAATTATAAATTTTTAAATATAATTAACGGGTATAATTGTATTTCTAAAAAAAATTATATAATATAAATAAAAATAGAGAAAATAGACAAATTAGGTGTACATAAACTAAGTAATGAGATATTGTTGTTGTTTAAAAAGGCAATGATTGGAAGTTTAGTCAGAGATTTGAATCAGGATGGCCCAATAAGAGGACGTCACGTGGCCGTCGTGGATGGCGTGGATGCGGACTCAATTTTGATTATTTGACATTTAACTGACATATATGCAATTAAAGTCTACATTAATTGACATTTTTATTAATTAAATAATAATAATATTATTATTTTTAGAAAAATAAATAAAATAAAATCAAAAGGAATTGATAGGGAGCTAGCTAGCTTGCTAGCTAGTTTACATTCAGACCTCTCCGACCAGGACCACTGTATTCATGACTTAAGTAGTACTCTCTTTGTCATTTAATTTTTTATTTTTATTTTTTATTATCATCCAAATTTGTTTTTATTTTTTTTAGTAAAAAAATATTATTTATTTTATTAAAAAAAATAAAAATTTTTATTCTTATACATATTTTTTTAAAATCTGTGCCTGTTAAATGAGCACACAATTGAATGACGGAGAAAATATTTAAATTAAATAAATTAAAATTAAATTAAATTAAAGTACAATAAATATAGCTGTCACCTAGAAAAGAACATAATCCAAATGTCAACTCAAGTCTATCAAATATTTGGTGAGGCGCTGCCAAATTACTCAAGATTTTCGGACATCCTAATTGAAATATTCACAAGGACTATTCTTTTTTATATTTATCATTAAACTGAAAATAAATCATTAAAGTAAAACCCAATAAATATATTTAACAACAATAGATCGAATATAAAAAAAAAAAAAAGGAAAAATGTTGATCATAAAAAAATATAAAAATATTGAACACTTCAATCGAGAAGTATATATATATATATTTTGGATTAACACATCAATATATACTTCGTGTCTACAAAAAAGATCTTACCAAAACCTTAAACTATATATATACAAGTCGATTTAATTAATTATAACAATAAAGTATTAGCTTAAAAAGGCAATTATTTAATGAGTTTAATTACTAATTAATAGCAAAATTCTATTGTAATCAAATTAATCTGTTTTTTTTTTTTTTTTTTAAATGAGTAATTGGTGATAAAAAAGTAAATTGCATTTGAGTTTCAAGGCCTAATTAACTAACAAAATGTATAGCCCATAGTCTATTTAGACTGCAGATAATGCATGCATTTTCCACGTATGATTTAATATATATATATATATATATAAACAAAGACTATAGCACTATCTAATTTTTTTTACTAAATATGGGACATTTACAATCTTATATATTTACTAATTTTCCAATATAATATTCTTATTCTTTTTATAAAACCGAAAATTGTTAATTACATACACATATATATATATTGTAAGCATTATAATTTATTTATTTATTTATTTCATATTGAATATATTTTATTAAATTACAAAATTGAAAACACTTTAACTAATAATTTAAATTTATTTTAAATAAATTATATTTGAATGTTTAAACAAACACCATTTCACAAGTTATTGCATGCCATCCATCACTTACATCTTATGTATTAATACTATTGACATACTGTTATTCCTTCGGCTTATAAGTAATTATAACTATATATATATAGTTTTTGATATATTGATATGAATTAAAATGAAAAGGAAAGGCTAGGCTAGGCTAGGCTTTACTAAATTAAACGTGTCATATATAAATACACTGTATTTTATTTATTTTTTTTCAAAAAAAAAGGAAAAAGAAAAAAGAGAATACTTGCATGTTGAAATTAGAAGAGAAGAGAAGGATTTCAGGATTTGATATCATGATATTGAAATATCCCATCAAATTGGATCATCTTTGATCTTGACTGACAGCTTGGCACTAATATTAATAATAATAATAATAATAATAATAATTATATATATATATATATATAAAGCCAATATCCATACCAAATTTGTATGATTCTCCACTTTCTCCACATTATACAATAATCATATCCGTCATCTCCATCTGAATAATAATAATAATAATAATAATAATAATAATAATAATGATGATGATGATGTATACGGCGACAGTGACACTATACGCTCAAATTCAATCCATTTTCCATATAAATCCTCTTTTCCCCCAAACTGAGACGCCCACATTCGCCACCTAAAATACACTCCAATAATAATTACTATTATAATTAAATTAAATAAAAAAAAAGAAAGATATATAGATATCCACTGCCAACAACAACAATAACAACGTTGTTGACCGTTTCTCCCTTCCCTCGTCTCCTCGTACGTACGTTTGTTGTTGGTGGTGATTGGTTGTGGACGGCGGCCGTTTTTAAATTTCCAATCAGCCAGCGGGTCGGTGATCTTAAATTAATTCAATCTCCCCTAACTCTCCCGTTTTTACGGACATACTACTATTCTACGTACTCTTCTTACTTATATATTTTATTTTATCTAGATCCTAGAAGAAGACCTCAGCTCCCGATCAAAATATTCAACCTTTTCGGGCGTTGTGGTCCTGGACTCATCAGTCTCCAACTATTAATTTGTTGATGATGCTTGCTTGCTACTGTAATCAAATGGAGTAGTAATATTTATTAATCCTGGAAAATATATGTAGACGAGAAGGTCTTGCTTGTTGTTGGTCACACACAGCTTGCAGTTTTGGGGATGGATGAATGAATTAAAAAGGAAATAGTGAATTAATTAATTAAGGAAGCAATTTAATTTATTGCACCATTCATCTTCTGTACAGTTTATGTAAACTAGTTAGCAATTAGTGCATTATATATATATATATATATATATATATTTAATTAATTAGCTCTGTTCAATTTTTAATTCCCAATTAAGGTGGTATTGGTCATAAACTGCCGCGCCGTCTGCCGGAACGGGCAGTTGGAGCTGACAAAGCCGTTCACGAGATGGAGATACGTCTTCAGATCGTGACACGTGGCAATATCGATGTCCTTCAGGTCCGAGTCGCGGCTGCTCAGCCGGAGCTCGCACCCCACGTCGGCGTACACCCATTGCGCCTCCTCCACCAGTCTCTGAATCCATCCCGTCAGATTCCCCGCCGCCGGCGCCGGCGACTCCTCGCCGCATTCGTCGACGACGAATCCGGGGACTTTGGTGATAAGGTCGTCGGAGTTTACAATTCGCAGCACTTTCGTCCCCTGCTCCTCCAGCCGGCACCGGAAACTCCAATTTCCGACGCGCGGCCCGGCGAACGAGATCACCGTCACCATCGGAGATTCCCCGAACGTCTCCTTGATATCGTACGCCGCCAGCGTCGCCAGCGCCGCCCCGAGCGAGTGGCCGGTGAATGTGAAGCTCAGCGGCTCGTCGCCGCCGTACTTCTCCAGAATCCTCCCGACTTCCTCCCGCACCAGCTCCCGGAGGCTCCGGCGGTCCCCGTCGCCGGAGGTGTACAGGCTGCGAAACCCCCTCTCCACCATCTGTTCGGCATTCGGCCGGAGCGGCGTCAGCGTCGCCCGGAGATTCTCCAGCCATTCCAGGCCGGTCGCCGTCCCCCGGAGCGCAATCACGACGTCGCGCCGGCCGAGCCGGGCGATCTCCTTCCGGTCCTGGCAGACCGCCACGTACCCGATCCAGCTCGACCGCATCGCCATCCAGGCCGGCGCCCGGTCGGCCCATCCGGGTAGCCGGATTCCGGAAGTGGCCGTCAGGTTCTTGGTGACCCGATAGCCCGTGCCCGCGAAACCCGCCTCCTCGAGCAGCTTACGTTTGGGGTAGAGACACGTGGCGTAGGTGGTGGACGTCGGATCAAAATCGCACGATCGATAAGCGGCCTCTACAAAATGGCCGTACCGTATGATCTCTCGCCGTAGGTTGTCGTCTAGCGGGTCGAGAAGACCTTCCCAATTCCCAATCCCCTGGTAATCCATCCACCTCGTACTCAGAGCATTTTTCAGGCTGCTGTAAGAATATTCCGTTGCCAGCTGGCACCCCATTCTTGCGGCGGCGCTCGAACCCCGACCACCGCCCTCCTTCATTTTCATCGGCACGGATTTCGTTTTCGCGCCGCCGCCGGCGCACACCAATTGGTCGCACCTGATGGTGCATGGCCGTACAGGTTTGACGGCTGAGAGCTTCATATTTTCTTAATTATATCGAAACCTTGGATTTGGTTTTGATTAATTTAAGGATCGATAATTGTCTGAAATACCCACACACACATACATACATATATATATATATTTATGTAAGTAGTGATATGTGTGTGGTGAGTGATGAGTGCAGCTAGCTATAGCTGTATTTGCCTATGGCTTTTTTCAATTTTCCCTCCCTCTCTCTCTGTGTCCCTCTCTCTCTCTAGATCTCTTACACGAAATTAAAAAGAGAGCAGTCGAGTAGGTGATATTTATAAGGACAAAAAGCACACGTACTTGTCGTAGAGTGTATGCATGCACTGTGGGCCAATTTTTTTCAGTAGGAACGCTAGATTTTTATTTTATTATATTTAATTAATTGGGCAAAATACAATTTGTTTGTTTTTGAGGAGTGGAATTCTCAACCTCACACATAAATAGTATTTCTTTCTTTTCCTTTTTCTTTTTTTTTTTTGGAAAAAATAAATAAAAAAGAAAGGATTTCTAATTTCAACAATAATCATAAATAAATAAAGGGCTGCGGTTGGCTCCGACCGTACATAACTGGAAAAACAGAATTACTGAAAGTGATCGACGGCGGAGGAGGCGATGGCCAAAACAAATCAACGGCCCACATCCAATCATTGGACGGAGAATGTGTACTTACGTTTTTGAGGACGGTAGCGCGTCGTTCTGCCACGTGTCCACCTGTCCTAACTCTTTGGACTACAACCAACCCCACTCGTAATTAATTAAATTTTTTTTTTTTAAAAAAAAATTAACCATTAAATTAATTAAATTAATTTCCTTATTTACTAATTTGCAGCTATGAAGGGAATCCATTATATTTAGCAAAAATTCTTGGTATAATAATTGTTTATGATTTAAATGACAACCATTTCCTCATTGACCAATTATTAAATTTGTTTCATTTTAGTTTTCTATAGTGACAATATGAATTCACATTCACATTGTACATTTTCTATTTTATGTTATTTTATTTTTTCCCATCATTTCATATGTAATTAATTAAAATCAAAGTCCTTAACTTTCAACATGTCACTCCTCACATTAATGCTCCGAAAACAATGTCGATTGAAGACCAAATAATTAATGAATCCTAACAACACAACATAATGTCTATACTATAAGGCACATTAATATGTTCTTTTGAAATTTAGGTTTTTTGTTTTTTGTTTTTTGTTTTGTAGTTTAAATAATATTTTGAATGTAATGTGTTGTGAGTGAACATACTTCTACACAATCATTATTGTTATATAGTAAAAATAAATAAATAAATAAATTAAAACAAACTCAGACATATTATTATTTGAACTCTGCGTTTTCCGAAAAAAATACACTATTTTATCTCACAAAATATCTCATCAAATATTATTTTAATACCAAACTTAAATCAAACTTTTTTCCAAACCAATTAAAAGAAACACACAGAAACACACAAGGTGTGTTTGTTTTGTGAGATTGTTGGAAATAATTTTTTTTTTTTTTATGTGAGGTATAGAGAATTATGTAAAAAATATAAAAATAATAAATGCGCGTAGTGTATTAATTTTTTAAGAAAAAACATATGGGAAGAAATATAGAAAGATCAAACACATAAAATTTCGATTAACTTGCTTCAACGACATAGTTTGGCACAGTATTAACATATGTTCCATGTCCAAATTCCCAATAGTTATAGAATCAATTTTTATGCCAATGTTAAAAAAAAAAAAAAAAACATCATTAAATGTACTATTGTTTATCAATTAATTTTTTCTTCTACATAACGATTAAATTATGTACTACTTGTTTGAATTTGTTGTCAAATAATATACAAAATATTAAATTATACTATAATAATAATTTTCACTGTTTACTTCTAAAAAATTTATAAAAACGAGTCCCGGTCAAATTGTTTCTAATCATGCATATGAAGACACGGCAATTTATTAGGATGTCGACGATTATTTCGAACATTATCTGTGTCGAAATAAATTATATGATCATCAAACTATAATATTGATTTGTCTCAACTTTTTTTATTTTTTATTTTTATAATATAAGATAAAATTTCCAAGCTAAATTGATAAATTGCAAATAGTAGTTATACTTTTGTTTCCATATATTCTAAAAATATTTTTACACTATTAATCAACATTATATATTTTTAAATAATATTATATCAAATATATATTTATTTACATGAAAAAAAATGTATTTCCTATGTAAAACATTACATCCAATATTTATTTAAATTACATCAAATATATATTTATTTATTCAATTTTTTACTATTTCCAAAATTCTGAAAAACCTCAACACACTTTACAAAACATGTCTAAACACAGCTTAATTAATACTATTTCAATTTAGAATTAAACTCTATTATTGAAGTGTACGTGTACATATACATATACATATACACATATATAGAGAGAGAGAGAAAGAGAGAGAGAGAGAGAGAGATGGTGAGCTGGCATTGGATGCACGAGGGTGGTTAGGGCCATGTAGGTTCAATTTATATACACTGAATTGTAGTCACTTTATTTTTACTTAGTCAAATTAGCCTCAATTAACAGTGTATATAAATAATTATTAATTCATGCACATGCAATTTCATGTGCCTCTTTTATTTCCCCCACATTTTATTTCTACATCTTATATATTCCAATCACTTTTAATAATGTTATTTTTATTTTTATTTCAGAAAAATATATATAACTTGCATGCATACAATGTTTTGCTAATTATATTGAAGCTGTCGTACAATATTTAAGGCCCCAATTCATCATACTTTTAACACATAGCTTCGAGTTTGTATCTTAGATTTGTATTATCATTTAATATGATTTCTAATTAATATATATATATTTTTATAAAACACATTAAAATATTAGAATTTAAATCAAAACTCAAACTCATGTACAAATATAGTTTAAATCCTTCTTGAATAAAAATTTTTTTGAATAAAAATAATTATTTGATGTGACATTTTGAATAGGAGATGACCATTCAGTACGACCCGATTGAACATTTTTATTATTAATCATGTAATGTGAAATTAAGTTTAAAAAAAAAAAAAGGTGAACCCACAATAAATTATTTAGCATAAAATTGATTGTGTTATGGATAATTGATTAATTGTATTTATTTTATTTTAAAAATAGATTATAGTTGGGAGTTTACGTATATTTGCGTGTTTTTGTCCTGTGAGTATTAAATTATTTACATTTTAGTCTTAATTGCTCGTATGTTTGAATCAAATATATGACATGTAAATAAATAATTAAGATCATAATCACTAGCTAACAATGTAACTAATTTTTTAAAAAAAAAAAGAGAAAAAAGTTAAATTACAGTAGTAATAAGATAAAAGTGATAATTGAAGATATCGTTATATATGTATATTTATGAGTAATGAGTGGTAGAACAAAAGGAGACATTGAAACAAGGGCTCTTTAGGGAGATTGAAATTTAGGTTTATTAAAAATAGAAATATGGAGGAGAATGGAAGGAATTTAATTGTGGCACATGGATAATGTTGTAGATCAATTTGTGCATGTGTTTTTTTGTCACACTACTATGATTTTTGTTTGGAATTTAGTACTATGAAATAGTAATGTTCTATTTCACACATGCAAAAATTATACCCCTTCCGTCTAAGCTAGAAAGTATATATATTTCTATTTTGGGACGCACAATTACTTTACATCACATCATTACTTTTACACCAAAAAATAAGAACAAAAATGTCATTATACTACTTTTAACTACCTATTATAATTAAAATACTATTATTTCTTAAACACTGCGCCAAAAGTAAATGTATACATTGTAAGTGGACGGAGGGAGTATATTGTTATCCTTATATATATATATATATATAACTGAATAAATGTACATATATTAGTAGCATTGGAATGATTAATCATGCACCACAAATTTTCATTACTATATAATATATATTGTTTATAATTTCTAAATAATTTGATAATTTGACAACAATAACAATTTATTATTTTATAAAATTCAATATTAGACAATTTACTCACCACGAATTAATTCAGCCATCTTTATCATTTTATTTTTATATATTTTTATTTTATAATTTTTTTATTTCAAACACATATATAGATGCAAATATATATGTATGTATGTGTATATAATATTTCAACACAACATGTTTGGTCTGGTCAGATATATACATGACAACTAAATTCTTTTTGCCACCAAAAAATAAAAATAAAAATTAATTAGTATATATTTGAATATATACAATTTTCCAACATGACATTAAATGAGATGATAGTTATATATATATATATATATATGTGTGTGGATTATTCATTTTTTTTTAAAAAAAAGATTAAACACTTTAATCGCATCTAAAGTTTTGTAATTTCTAATTTCAATTTTAATTGAATTAATTATTTATATTATACTGTAATTAATTTTACTAATATATTATATCTTCTGAAGTCTCCTAGTTTAAGATATTATATCTACGACGCGGGAAGTACTTTGGATATGCATTTATTAAATTAATTTTATAATAAAAAAAATCAAGCAATTATATAAATTTAAATTTAAAATAATCTATGATATATATATATATTATAATAATAATAACACATATATACGGTTATTATAAACCACAATTAGATCACGCAACCAACTTTATTGACTATAAAATACAATATAAATGAAAGCATACTAAATTAGGTTTACAAGCTATAAGTGGTAATTTAGTTTTAAATCCACTTATTAAATTAATTGGTTGAGTGTAATTGATTATTTTAATGGCTACCTATCAACTTCTAATTACATTATTAATTTCCACAAATGAATACTTATTTAGTTAAATATTTGTATGTGTAGAAGTTTTTTACAAGTTTCAAATTCATCACATAATTAAATATGTTGTGATAACTTCTTACATATACAAACAATTATATATATATAAAGAAAGTGTTCAAACTAAAAATAATATAAATTAATCATACGTAACGAGTCCATCTCTACATTATCGGACCATTTTTATAGGACTATTATTATCATTATTATTATTATTATTATTATTACTATTATTATTGATTGTCATCACATAATTATATTATACTTATATTTCATATTATTTTAAATATTACATAAACAAAAAATTTTTATATAAAATATTACTCCAACAATGTATTTAATTCACAAATAAAAATAAAAGGTACATAATTGAATTCATTGTTTTATGATTCCACATACCAAGGGTATGTTTTGTATTAGGTTTGGCTTGAGATTTTTTACTATTACAAAACTTTCTCTCCTAAAATAATATATATTTATTTTCAGGGGTATATATATATATTTTTTATAAGTTTGAAAAAAAATTGATTTGAGTTTGATATTAAAATAATATACAATGGAATGTTCTGTGAGAGAAAAAAAAATATATATTTTTGGAAAATAAAAATATGAGGCTTGTAAGTGTAAAGAAACAAACTTTAAGACCATCTCGAACCAATGAGGTTTTCTTTTATTTTTGCAGGGTGGGGAGAAAAAAATTGCTCCAACCCACTCTGCAGTTTTGCAGAATTCATTCGCTGGAATAAGCGGGTATTTTTTCTTTTTCTTTTTTAATACAATTATATATTTATTTATAAAATTATCTATTTATTTATATAGTTATCTACTTTTTTTTAATATTATCTATTTATTTACGTAGTTATCTATTTCTTTTTTATATTTATTTAATTTTTATTTTTTTAAATATCATCGGCAAAATAAAAAATTGCATTAATTTTTTTATTTTGTTTATATTTTTATATTTTATTTATTTTATTCTTTTTTTATTTTGTTTTAAGCTTATATTTTATATATTTTATTTTATTTTATTTTTGTTACTTTTAATTTTATTATTTTCTATTATAATTTTGTAATTAATATTTATAGTAAATTATTTATTTATTTAATATTTATTAAAATTTATAATTACTTGATTATGGTAAAATAATTATAAATTATTTATATTAAATTTAAAATGTTATAATATTTATAAATAAAAAAATAGCATTAATTATACAAAATATCATAACATTAAATAAAAGATAAACTTAAGAATACAATATAAAATTTTATTTGTAATTTAAAAAATTATGTAAAATAAAATATAAAGAGAATATTTTTTAACCCTGCAAAAATGAAATGTATGGTTGAAGAAGAGACCCTACAAAAAAAAATAGAGGGTAGGGTTGAAGATGGGTCACTGAGACTCTGCAAAAATGGAGAAATGTACCGTAGACCCTACAAAAATAGAATTATGGATTGGAGATAGTCTAATCCATCGGGTCTTTATTAGTTTTCATTATTAAATTTGCATTTTTCTTGCTATGCAAAATTTCAATATTAATTAGAATATTATAACGAATATATTATTTTTATTTTACTTATTTTATGTATATATATATATTTTCTGGCCATGCCATGGCATGAGAAACGTCACTTCTTACATAAAATGCAAAAACACATACATAGGTACAAATTATTGTACTACTATGTATTAAAAAAAATAATAATAATAATAATTGTACTACTTTGTATTAAATTAAATTATATATATACACTCTGGCAGTAGTGTCAGATTTTTTGTACAATCTGCAGACTATCTATGATGGGGAAAAAAAAAATCTTGTTGGCACTTTTTAAAATAGGTTTTTGTTTTTTTTTTTAAAAAATATTATCCTCAAAGTAAAAGTATATCTGGGCATTCTTTTTTAAATGCACTTACTCCTATTGCCTAAATTGTCACACCCCTACCCAAGTTAGTCTCTGATTTTTTCTTTGCTAAAAACTAAAATAAATAAAAATAGTAATATATATATATATATATATAAAATGAAATCAATTACATATGCTCAGCTCAAGTTATTATTATTGTGATTATTATTATTATTATTATTATTATTATTATTATTATTATTATTATTATTATAAGTTAAATATTTTTGTTTGGTAAACTTGATTGGGTGGGTTTGTACTTTGAACAATTGAACTTGGAATAATTTTAATAAAAATATGCTTGGGATGTATTGATTTAAATAAATAAATAAATGAAACGTTATATATGGTGTTTTTTCAATAAAAAATATTAATATATAAACAACCCTGAATTTTTATGTTCAAATACAAACACTACATCCAAATATATTTGCTTTATATGTATATATATATATTCATTAATTTAATTTTATCCTAAGAATTGGATTTCATTGCAAGCAATCGATTGGTTACTAATTTAGATGAACAATTAGATTCCAATTAAGAAAATAAATAATTAATATATTATAATTGAATGGTAGAAGGGAGATATTATGGTGTGAATTAATATATTGGAAAGGGGGAGATATTTAGAGTTTTTGAGAAAGCCATTTGGATGATTAGTTTCTTTATAATTGAATTTTAAATATTTTTTTTTTTTTAAAAAAAAAAAAAAAGTGAAAGTGGATGCACAATACAATGATTGAACAAGGCAAGGCAAGAAATTGATTGAAATAATATATATTTATATAGACATCATGGAAAAATTATTTGTATGAGGAAGAAAGTGAGTAGTAGCTGGATTTATTTTCATTCTACTCATTGGTTGATAATAATAATAATAATAATAATAATAATAATAATAATAATAATAATAATAATAATAGTAGTAGTAGTAGTTATAATGTGTATTTTTATGTGTCACATTATTACATTGTCCATAAGTATCCCAACATTCTCATCATTCTCACTGCAAGCATTTGTCCCCAAAAAAACTTTCTGCACAACCAACAAAAACCTCTTTTATCTCTGATACTTTCTGCTTCACTTCCATCATATAATCCACTTTTCTTTCCCATTTCTACAATATTATTTCATATCTTTATTTATTTAATGTTGCTAGAATTGAAATCAGAACCGTAAATAAAATAAATAAGACAAGAGAAATATTGACAATTTACTCTAATGGGCTGGACAGTAATCTATGGGCTCGGCCCAATAGAAAATTTTAGAGGCCCATTGACATAATCAGTCAATTTTGTCCTCCCATATAAAAGAGTTCTCTAGTCTTGAACTCTATTTGCATAAACACAATCAATTGATATGCATCTGATTATTATTATCAGCAGTACAAATAGTAAATATGATGATGAATTGGCTCAATTCATTTACAATACATAATGCAATGGTTTTGTATAAGAGCAGATTGAAATACTCATATAAGTTCAATCTTCAGAGGGATGCTCTTTCCTTACCCATTGACTTACTTGTTTCCTCGGATTTTGCTGCTTCCGGGCCGAATTACTGCGTCTCCTTGAGCCAGATATTCGGACAGAACTTTCTGGATTCGCATTGTTTGCTGATTGTGTTGAAGGGACAGTAATTGGCTGGGGGAGGAACATGCCTGGCTGGAGAACCTCTTCTTTTTTGGGTTCGATCAGGCCATTGTTTTCTTGCTGGAGTTTTAGAATGGCATCGAACTTCTGTTTTCTGATTTTCTCCGAATCAGATTGAAGTACATCTTCGTTGATGTTGATCCCACTGAAGTCCTATAGTTGAGAGAAAATAACAACTGTTAAGCCTTTTTTTGCAAGAAAACTACAAAGATTTGAGAATCAGAAGAAATGATAAAATTCAGAAAAACAGCAGCTTTGGCTATCGACGAATTTTCAGGGATTTGGAGATTGTGTGGCATACCAAATGGGTGAAATTCTCAACCAAGCCAAGAACATGTTTAATGTCCTTCTTTAGAAAAACTTTTCGACAGACCGGGCACTTGCCCGTACTTCCTTCCACCACTTTGCGCGTATCTATGCCAGTGAAAAAATTAAAGCATGGGAAATTGTTATATCAAGTGTTGGAAATAAATAAATGAAAGACATGAGCTACCGATAATAAGAAGGTTGTTTCTCCTCATTATGATACTAAAAACAATTCCAAATTGAAGTACTTAAGTGACTAGCAGCACACCTATTCGATCTTGAATAGAGGAAGAAGAATGACTGGATTCCTTTCCATTTTGCATCTTGGTCCAATTCCACCATCTGATGATGCAATTGCTACAAAAGTTGGAAAGATGAAAATTTTAAAATTAAATGTTAGTAAGAGTAACATAATGAAAGTTGCAAAAGAGTCTTAATGGAACTCACCAATGAAAGCAATGAAAACAAGACATTAACTTCATAAAGGGAAGAGAGTTGTTCTCTGCATTTTCATCAAGTAATGGATATAGACACAGGGGGCAGTCTCCCTCGGGGTGATTCATGGTAGAAAGCCTCTCCACTGCTTCCTAATAGATCATATGAGAACTCGTATATTACAAGAACCGTTTCAACGATCAAAACAAACAAGAGCAAAATAACTGCAATATCCTTTACAAATACTTCAGATTGCTACCATTTGAAGATAGAAAGCCAAACATTAATCCAGGAAACATCTTTGATATGGTGAGTTACACCAAGTCATTGAAAGAGGAATACAAAACTTGCACAATCTGTTACCTCACAAAGCGCCACGAGCATTAAACATGAGGCAAGCTCAGAAGCTTTATCCTGGATCCTGGCTATAAGATGTTTTTGCCTCTGCTCATCTAGACCCTTGGAGTCGATAATAGTAATATCAGGTGGGACTTCAGGGTACTGCCACCACAATATCAATAACCCGAGCAAAAATCATGAGACATATATCAAATCTCTGAACATGGAAGAGTTCTAAATTGAATAAAAGACAAATTATAAACCAGCAATAACCTAGAACCAAATGGGAATACTCGCAACGGCCGAATTCAATCAAATCTACAGAATTCTCTCTATAAAATAACTCAGTGGACAACCAATTGCCATTGTTAAGAATGTTATCACAAATGTGATAAGCATAGCCACATGTGTATGATGTCCTTACCTTGGAACCAGCATGAATTCCAATAGTTGCTTCAACAAACTGCAGAAAAAGGATCTGTCAGTATTGCTATTTTCTCAAAAACCTTTAACAAGGAGAAATCACACTTCAATATCAACAAGAAGTGCCCATAGAATTAACAAGAACATAATGCAACATCAGGAATAACCAATGACCTCTACTCATAGAAATCAGTGCCTAAGATGGTTCAATCCAGCATCAATCCGAACATAATTTACAACATATGTGAATTCACCAATCTCTCTTGAACAAAGCAATCTCGAAACTAAATAAAAATCCAGACCAGTGCACAAAGTGATCGACGTCTATTCCTATTCCCAGAGCAGCACGAGAAGCTAAAGCCACAAACAATACGAATTCCCAAAAGAATCTCCATTATATTCATATACCTGCTGTGAAGAGACTTCGGCGGTGCGCGGCTTAAGGTGAACGCAAAGATGTGGAGGAAAAGCTTCAATGACTCGGCAATCCTCACCGTACACCGCCTTGACAGCCTCCACTTCTGCCGCTATCGCTTCTTCCTCGGCCATCGGCGGCGGCGCAGCAGTCCGATCTCCTTTTTGGGACCAAAATTTATTTTAAAATATAAAATCCAAAATTAAAAAGCAATACTTACATTTCCAAACTTACCCCTACATCTAAATCATTAAATAACCCATATTTATTTAAGTTAAAGAATCGTGTTCCGTTGTGTGATTAATATTTTATATACTTATTTAATTGGATAAATTATTTTTTTTAGTCCCGTCACATACCTTTTATATTTTAGTCCCGATTCCGTCGCAAACTAGTTCCATAAGTAAAAAATTTTCGTTGTTTTAATCCTCTAAAACAACAAAAAATTTTCACTTATAAAACTAATTTGCGCCACTTATAGGACTAAATGATAAGGAGACTTAAAAAAAAACAATTTATCCTATTTAATTTTATTTACAATATTATATTTAAATTTTAATTTCATATATATGAAAATTCAATACTAAACTCCCAAATAAACAACCTTCCATACCTCTCAAGTCTATTGTTTTTCAGAAAATAAAATTCACTACAAGCTTATTGAAGCAGAATGTATTTTTCTTTGAAAATTGTTAAAAATGTAATAATAAAATACAAATAATAAAATAATTTTACAACACAAGAAAATTTGTTCATGAGCATGAAATGTGATCCCAGGGGATGTCAAAAAACAAAGCAGCTCAGGGGCTGCCTAGCTCCAATTCATTGCGATCATCGCCGCTGCCGGGTTTTAGAAACCGGGCAAAATCGAGAGGTCCGCGATTCCCTTTGGAAGGTCGGAGATTCTCCGGAGGAGGGCAAGCCGGTTTGTTCTGATTTTCTCGTCTTCCTGCAACGAAAAAAACATTTGAAGCACAGAAATGGCAAAAATTTATGAGTGGCATCACGGTGTGTTCGAGTAGACTTACCACCATAACGAAGACATGGTTGAAGAAATCTTCGAGCGGTTGTACTAGACAGGAAGATGCCTCGGCAAAGTCATCGATGCTCATGTCTGCAATATGAGCACGGTTAGGCAACAAAAATAAAGTCGATGGAATGACTATGGGATTGCTCGAATGGAAAAGGTACCGGGGTGGATTTTACTCCTCAAGGACATGTACGTGCTCCATAGAGTTCGTTCTTCGTCCATTTGAAATGCTGATTCATCGACCTGATGAGATACATGTTTTGAATTTAGTAAAGATGAATGCAAAATGTGCCCAAGCTAGTAAAAAGTTCGATGCATATCCGCATGGAATGGGAACTGTGGTAATTTCCAATTCGACCATGAAAAGAATTTCGAAGAAGAGAGCTTCTAGGGAATGTCATTGAGGATTTCTGTAGGTATATGGACAGAGAAAACAGTTTAATCGAAGTTAAGGTACCTCGGAATCGACTGCAACATCCTTTCCACGTACAATTCTTGCTGGACGTGCATAAGCCTCGATGATTTTGGGGAGCAGCTCACCTTCTAACAAGGCATTCATCTGAAAAACAAAATCGACGGTCGCTATCATAGCAGCATTTACAGACAAGTTCAATAACTTGATAAAACTTGGTAACCAAAAAAAATAAGATATATATGCAAGGAAAAGAAAGCTTGATAATTATATATACAATTCGGAAATTATATATTATATATATATATAGAGAGAGAGAGAGAGAGAGTATAATATATACACTTACTTTATAAGCAGACTTGGTTGCTATACAAGGCCGATTGGCACGCTCTGCAAGAACACTGCGCACTGCTTCTGGATTTATTCCTTGGTCAATCTGTCAAATAAAGGCTAAAACCCATGAACACCGTATGAAAGAATTTTAACTACACCAAATGAGATAGGCTACAAAGCTCATCATACCATGGAGCTGAGAATTATTGGCTATTACTACTATTTTATTGTCATAGAGGACATTTGAAATACTACATCACTAGTTTCGGACATTGCATATAAAAGAAAGCTAGTATGGTGTCTAAGCAGGTTGCGATTTACTGACAGTCACCTTAGAACTGTTACACTCTCATACAAGATCACGTGAAAAAGGGTGCACAATAAAGCAAACATACCAAAAGTTGTTCGAGTCTCCTTGTTACAAATTGATGTACCTAAAAACAAACGAGGAAAATCACATTTGTTAGCTGAACTGATAAATTATTGATCAATGTGCTATATATTTATTTAATCGAAATAACTACACCGATGAAAGAAAGTGACAAACTATATATTCAAGAACATTTTGTGAAAATTTGTTAGAAAATAATATACTTCATCTATGGTTTGCTCTTCTACTTTTATGGGCTGAACTGCAGCAGCAAGTTCCAAGGCATGCCTTAGCTCCAAATTCTTATCAGTATCGACTAACAATTGCACCTACGGCACAATAAGGTAAGCATCATTTCCCTGGTCTCAGATGAAAATAGGATTTCAATGATTATATTGGTTAGGCCATACTAGACCGTAAGAGATTCTCCGCAAACCAAAGGGATCACTACCAGAGGTTGGCTGACAACCAGCAGCAAACAATCCAACAAGGCTATCCAACCTGCAGAAAAGGTATTGATGGAAACTAAGACAATCGAGGACCCAAAAATTAATGTAATTTGGATAACAATTTTAAGGATGCAGGCAGGGGGGTCGATCAAATATGTTCTAAGAAATTAATATAATTAATTGAAGTTGGACGCAGAGGTATGATGAGAGAATCTATAGGGATACATGGGAGATAATTATTATTCCCAAGTATCTTGTGCAATACCTGTCGGCTATTGCCAATACTCTGCCTGCATCAGTTTTTGGAAGTATATCTCCGGAAAATCGTGGAAGTGTAATTTCAAATAATGCATCTGCAACCTGATATTTAATGAAGGAAACTTAGAGAAACAAGGTATTTGATAAAAGAAAATGTCAATTCGGCTAGAAAATCCATTAAGCGTTTACAGTCAGTTAGATAGGTTATGAAGCAGAAAAGAAAACTTCTTAAAAGGCTGAAAAGAAGAAATAAGATTTCAATCTTTACTTTCGGGGGATTGCACATCCAGAAATGTATAGTTAGTGGAATATCATCAAAAGGGAAGGATCGGCAGTTTCCAAAGTCAATAATATATATCCATTCAGCACATCTTGACTACATGCATCTACCCAAATCCAATCCCCAATTCGAAATCAGTGTTAGAAATGAAAGCAGAATCATTCCCAGAACCATGTAAAGTAACATTATCAGCTGTAGTTTGTAGTGATATCATTCAAGTTCCTACGCTCTCTGCCTTATATTTAATATTCAGGAGTACATACATGATTACATGGAAAAAAGAATCTCAACATAAGTAGAGAAAAAAACATGAAAAATTGCAGCAAGTATTAAAAGAGTAAGTTAAGGAGGCAGAATATTGCTCACGACCTGTTCTGAGTAGCCATCTCTCAGAGAATAGTGCCGCCCCATTACCCCGGCAAGGGAGGTAAATTCTGTAACAACTGCAGATGACAGATCTGACATGGCTAAGGATGCAGCCACCTGAATGACTTGGAGTGCATCATCAGTTATCTCCAGTGGGATGGCAACTTGAGTAACCAACCCCTCGACCCGTGTCATCTTGTCCAGCATTGTCCCCAGCTTTTCCTATTTATCACTCATTTCAGGACAGATAACAAGCAACATTACAATTTTTTATTCAGCAGTTACAAAGTGCTATTATATTATTGTCTTTTAATATGCTAAAACAGTTTAGAACGAATTTGAGGTTTTGTTACATTTTCTTCATATATGAATATTATTTAGGCAAAGAGTTCAAAAAATTCTACGAATGACCAAGATACATTGTGAGTTTGATAGAAACTCACATGGAAAAGGATCCCCTTCAATTGATTTCGAAATTCAGAAAACCTCTTGCTTGTGTCCAACTCATAAAAAAACTTGGCATCTTCATATCGAGCTCTGCAGCCATATTAGAGTTTCTTAACCCATTGCCCAGAATCAATAGCATTTACAATTCTGTGCATAGTTTTTCAGCAAAACTATTTGTTGTAACGCTCATCAATCTAGATGCAGCAGGAAAAAAAAAAAGGGGAAGCTTAAACATTCCATATATGAAGTGTATATGGACCTGAGCACAGCTTCGTTTCCTTTCCTTACAACCATTTCATCAATTGTTCCATTTGCAACCTAGACAAAGAAACCGAGATACAAAAGTACCATTTAGAGCATGACAGCATATATGTATAATAAGATGGTATGGATACACTATATGATTAGCATTTCTCACAGCAATGAAATATGGCAATAGTTTTCCATCCTGATCGGTTATAGCAAAATATTTCTGATGCTTCTGCATAACCTGCATACACAATTCCATATGACAACATACCATGGTGAAAGTATGACACCGCGACACCACCATAAGCGCATTAAAAATTACAAAACAGCAGAGGAACTATCATGCAACTTTTCAAGCTGTGCGAAGAAATTAATCAGTAAACCTACATGATATATCAATTCAACAATGGTAAGTTCATCAACTTTCTAACGTGAAAGAATTACAAACAGAATTAGAGGAATGAAGAAGAAAGCATTAAAAGAGAAGAAATAATTTAGCTCTTACAAGTAGGAGCACAAACCATTATTAAGAGGTCCTTAGGAAGGTTTAGGAATGACTCACTAAACTTTCCAAGAACTGGACGAGGTGCTTCGACAAGATTTACAACCTAAACATAAAAAATAAGTGATTGTTATCCATGGAAAATGGTAATCAGAAACGTAGAGAATCCATTTCTCACCTCATCAAGTAAATTACTTTCTATTACAACGGAACCGTTAATGGTTTCAGCAATGGAAGTAGATTTATCCATGATCATCTTCTTGCGTTGCTGTGAAAATACAAATTCAAGCTCTTGGCCTTAAGGAATATACAAGAGCAGTAAAAGGAAAGAGATATCATTAATAACCTCCACATTGATTATTATTCCAGCATTCTTCATTGCATCAGTATAAGATTCAGCCGTTTCCACCTGGGATCGTGATAGCATACCCATGCAACGAATAAAAATATTAGAAAGACATTAAAGCAACTGTTTTTGTTCTTCCACATGAGATTGGTTACAAATTATTGAAAGCTATCTCATAAAGAACTCGCATCAATATGAAAAGGAGTCATACGATATACCCTTCCATATATAAAGAGAGAGACAAATGGTCATTAGTAGTGGTAAGTCATTAAGCATGTTCTATGTCAAAATAGATCTTTTATTCCCATCTTTCTAGGTTCCCTACTAAAAGGTACAATCATTTATACAAAATAGATATCTGAAATTATCTCTCTTTTCAGTTATTGTTCTGCCTTAGTTAATCATAGGGATTATGAATTGATCAATATACCTCAATTGTAGCAAATGGAGTATTTCGAAGTCCATGAGAAGCATCTCCACTGCAATTACAAAAACACTAATATAAGTACTATATATGCCTGCGTGATCCAAGACACGGTCATCCTCGCTATAAAGTCAACAAGTTCAAATCAAACAACTAAAATAGCTCACAAACAAGGTTAGGCAAACAGCACTTCCAAAAGTAGTATAAAGTATATGTATAAAGGCCCAAAAGAACTGGAAATAAAAATAAAAAAGATAAACATATATATATATATATATATATAGATGTTGTTTGACTCATGAATAAGAAAAGAGGTTAACAGAGAGCAAAGACTTTTAAATGGAAGCAGATTTAAACTTGCCTCAAAACACTGGCAAATGTAAATGGAACAATTACATCTCCATGCAGTGCCAATATCCATCGGATGGGCCTGCTGAACATAACCTGCTATGACATTATATGGGTTGAGTTATCCAACAACCAGTTACAAAGTGAAACAGGAATAAAAACCAGAAGAAACAACAGCAATTTAGCTTGTTATATGGATTATGGAATATTTTAACCACCAGCACAAGGCAATAGTCAAAGAAAATAAATCTTCCAATCATCAACAGTACCCAAGACTATATATATATATAAACAGAACCCAAGAATTTTTGCTACAGAAAAATTGCATGCTTGCCACAAAATGCATGCATAAAATGCCATATTCCACAATGAGATTCAAAGGAACAAGGCAGACTTAGAACCCAATGTTGGTCCTGCTCAAATCTATTTTTCATCTATTGCTATTACCATTTCATCTAAATACAGAAGGAAAAAAAAAAATGTACATATTATACTTAGAACATAACAAACCTCAGAGTTCCACCTCATTGACTTTGTAAATGATATTTTGCCAAGGGTCACAGGTAATTCTTCAGATAAAACCTGTTAAAATAATGACAGAATCAATATACAAGCAATGCAATCCAAAGATAAAGATTGAAGCTGTATAATGCCCTCAGTTAGGCAGGGTATCATTCACGTAGTGGCATAGGTGTTGGCAAGCTTTAAAGTGAGTAAAGTGCACGTAAGATGCCGCAAGGGCTATTTAAATGCTACGTTAACAGAAAACTAACAGTAAGAGATGAAATGGAATTCATCTCTTTTTGCCCCATACAACCATCTAGTCAAAGGTGGGTTTTAAAACAGATACCCTTTGTAACGTCAAGAGACAAGTAGAAAATAAGCTTGACCAAGTTACCTCCAAAGCAAGACGTGATGGTTCCATGGCACGAACATAAACAAATTCTGCCTTACCTGCAATGTATTTGAGTTTGTGCGAGAGAATAAGACATATACTCTAGGAAATGAAAACCAAAAGTGACTGCAAAATGATTATTGTTAAAATTAGAAACAACTACAAGATTGCTATATTGGACTCACTTTATCAAATACATAATTGATGAACTTGACAGCAAAGCACATCCTGGTATTCCATTTTAGAAGTAAGTCAATTAACTACAGTTCTTAAATCCCAAAAATAGGGCTTTCCTGTTGGTTGAGATGATTGGTGCACAATACATTATTGACAATAAAAGTCCTTTCTTTCTCATTCTTACAAACACAGACAAGAAGTATTTGATTAAGACAGACTAGTTTCAAACTTTTGATAATAGATCTCAGGATAGATAAACAAAGTTTTCCACCATAGTAAACATCTAGAGAAAAATCATTAATTAATAAAAGTTCAAAGACGTATTTGTACCTTCAACTCTTCTATAGAGAGAGCTTAAAGGCACTCCATTTCTGCGGCAAAAACCTTCAGCAGCCTGATCAATTACTGGAATTAGAAACTATATGTGACAAGGCAGCAACCAAGTCAAAAATCCAAGGTCGCAGATCCTGCCTATATAAGCTGCTCGCCACTCAAATAAGTTGACATAAAAGATGTAATTTTTAAAAGATCACAACTGCACATAGCATGCAAAAAGAAAATCATGCATATGTAGGCGGTATATGCTGCAATTTTGAAGGCAAAAAAAAAATAAAAAATAAAATTATCAAAGCCACACTGAAAACAAAGTTATTAGTGATATATTCAAGTCACAGAGATTACTTCATTGGCTTAACAACCCAATTCAAGAGCACAAAAGATTCCCTCACATGCTTAGATTAATCATATTTTACCAATCTAACAAGTATAGCATATTAAATCAATGAAATCCAGAGCATATGACCTTAGTAGGGTTTCCTTCCTGATCATATGCCTTTGATACAGGAGGCCCTCGAACCTCTACTTCATTTGCCACCTGCTTATCGATTAGGTTATCAACTTGAACCTGCATATTGAAATACAGAAAACTATTCTTAAGGGCATTGTAAACTTGGACCAAGGCAAATCTTAAGTAGATACTGCCTATTAGATGAAAATAAATAAATAAGTAAATAAAATTGACACGAAAGCTCATAGATGAGGAAAATGTGGTTGTTAGCTAGGATGAAACCCATCAATAGAGTGATAAAACAGATATCCTTACAAGTAATGATCGTTGTTCATGTTTAAATGTTGAAAGTATATAAAAATTGATAACACAAGGAGCAGTCACAACCATCTTGATTGAAGTCTCAAATCATGAAACAAGCTCAAATACGTAAATGCAATAGCTGAGATTGAGGAGTATTTGAAGCAATAAAAACATACAGCAAAATTAAGAATCAATATAAACATACAATTCAATCATACCACAAGTCTGCGAGGTGTTCCATATGTTTCTATATCCCCGTGATTTAATTTCTGCTTTTCTAGCAACTGCTTGACCAGATCTTTGAGCTACAATGAACAGGGCAGTATAACATTTACAAACTAGAAAGGTTGTTGGTATAAAACTCAGAATTATGAATGGATGGATCTCACAAAACAAACAGATTCTGTAAAATTCATTGTTTGATCTATAATTACAAGGTAAAAATCAATAAGAAAACAATAGATGCAAACAAAAGAAAAAGTATGGCAGGAAAATACTAGTCTGTATATTAAAGTACAGAAATGAAGCCTGTATACCATGCACATTAAGCTTACAAAAGCAAAATGAAAACAGATTGTATGGGAAAAATTCACATTACTTGACTGCAAGCATTAATGACATCATTTGGAGGTAACTCCTCAGTCCCAATCTCAAGAATCAAAGTCCTAGGCCCTGAAGAAACCTGCATGAAGTAACACAAAATCTATAACGAATAACCACAAAGAAAATTGGGTAGCAACCTATCATACAATTATCTTTTGGCAACAGCCACATTTGATTTTTAACTCAACTAAACCAATGATTTTTTAGCAGAAAATGGTTTCTCCTAACAATCCAAGACCACTGAATTCCTCATGCATAGATGAGATATCAACACATCTAAAAGACTAAAACTTTTAGAAAACCTTTTTCTTCAATTCCTCTATGTGTTCTTTCTGAAATCCATGATGATCGGGATGAGAAGCACTTCCCAATGGATGCCCAAGAGATTCCCTTGTCTTTAACCAAAGTTGTGCGCATTGGCGGGCTAAACTGAAGGTTACAAAAGGCAAATATTTAAGACATGATTTGCATTTTCCAACTACTATCATGCATGTAAAAGATCTAAGTATAAAATTATTCCATGTCTAAAATGAAAATTGATATAAATAGCAACCATCTAAAAAGACAAGTTCATAGTACTAACACATCAGAAGATAGAAACAATTGAGATGTCATTTCTTCCAGTTACATATATTTGAGACAGAGTTAATATTCCCAACTCAAAAGTTCGGTAAAACAAAAAGGCATGTATGGTATACATTAAAACAATCAGGATAGCTTACTTGCGCATGCGGCCAAAATAACGAGCACGTTCTGTTACCCCCACAAATCCTCTAGAATCCAATACATTGAAGGCATGCGAAGCCTTTAAAACCTGATCATACCTAGCATGATAGTATATATGAACAAATGAAAACTACAAATTCGCAGTGGAAGACATCAAAACTTATGACATGAAATTAAGGTGAGATAAAGTAAAGAAAAATACGCAGGAATTGGAAGCCCTAAGTTGAGCAAATGGCGAGCTTCTGCCTCAAATAAATCAAAATGGGTTTGGATATGATTCACGTTTGCATGCTCTAAATAATATGCACTCATTTCCTTCCTGAAACAGAGAACAAAAATGAAATTATACTTTGGCTGCATGAAACTAGTAACTTCATTGCCTCCATGCATGCAGAACTTATAGGATCCATTAACAATACTAAGAATCAAGTATATTGCATCATTTTAAATATTAGATAACATGCAATATAATCTAATGGAACAGTAAAATACAATTGTCTATTATAATTCAGTAGTGTGCTATCTTGAAAATCACCCGTTGTCGAACTAGGTATTTGTATCATGTTAAGAGAGAGAGCACAAGACCATTCATATGCTCAATAGTTATCTACACACACACACACACGCATATACACATGTATAAAACAACAGTTTTCTGGTATCACCAGATGAAAAGAATTGGCTGTGCAGTAGAATAAATATGTACTCTAAGGGTGTGTCTATTTTGTATGATTGGAATATAATACATGGTATTATTTTAATAGACTATTTGATCACAAGATAAAGTAACTCAATGTCTACTTTAATGAATTATTAGATAGGATTATTATTTTTTCCAAAAATATCATTGTTTATATGATATGATTATTGTTAACTTAGGTATTAGTGTAGGGGAAAATAGTCTGTAGCATTAATATTGCCTTAGGATAATTTAATTCCATCCATCTAAGAGTGATTAATAATTCTTAATTATCTATCATTATGGAGGCTTTACTTTATCCCGAGCCATAATAAGTAAAAGCAAGCAAGTGATTATGTTAGATAAAAGAATATTATCTACCCCAATAATTCATAGTAAAAATACCCTAAAATAACATTAAATTTTGAATCAGCATACTAACTCATTTTCCAGGAAAAGCTCCCCATATGTTATTCCATCAGCATACTGAATCTTCTTGAAGTGGTCCACTCCCTGCAAAGAAATATTTTGAAACATCATGAGTGCATGTTTTAGGGCAGGATACAAGCTAATGACAACATGAAACCTGAAGTAACATGAGAATCCTTTCAAGGCCATAGGTGATCTCCACTGAAACAGGCATCAGTTGAATACTTCCAGCCTGAATTTGGTATTCAAATGAAGACATGCAACAGTCATCGTATGATACTCAATCGACTCATCACAGGCAATAAGTAATTTCACATAAAAATAACAAGTATATTATTGTTAGCAAGCAACAATAAATGATCAACTGTAACAGTACAAGGGATTGACAAAGAAAAACCTGTTGGAAGTAGGTGAATTGAGTAATCTCCATTCCATCCATCCAAATTTCCCAGCCTAAACCCCATGCACCTAATACCTACTAGGAAGAAACAACTGCTAAAACATGTATACTCTACATTGAGAAACCAAGCAGATTTATGAAGCAAGCAAAGTTGCTGAATATTGGTATAATCAACCAAATGTGCAACCTCAGAAATCCTTCTATGGAATATATGTGTGATTTATATGATGTTATAGAAGTGAAATAAAGCCTCACCGGGCTCTCCCAGTTATCCTCAACAAATCGAATGTCGTGATCGTTAACATTGATACCTATCAATTTTTAAAGAAAACTTGATCAAAAACAAATGCAGATGCTTACAGAAACATGAAAATACAATAGGAACTTCTTCTACGATTTCTCATTAAGTATTATAATATGCTCTAAAACATAGCTAGGAGATTAACTATATTGCTCCATACAAACACCACTATATTCTAAGAACAGTAACCAAAAAAATGCTTCACAGCAATACAGAACCTAAAGCTGACAAGCTCCGGATGAAGAGGTCCTGAGAATTCCCAGGATCAGGCTTTAATATCACCTGACACAAATGAAGTTAACATTACAATGGAAACAATAACATCTTAATAGACTAAATGAATTGACGAAGCTTTCGCGAGTGGCAAAAAAGAATCATGTTCCATGATACAGGCAATATTATCGTTTACCTGGAATTGGGTGTGCCTTTGAAGTCTGTTAGGGTTTTCACCATAACGACTATCATCGGGTCTGATACTTGGTTCTACATAGCTTCCACCATAAAAACCACATCAGAACATTCTCAAGTAAATGAAAACTAAAAAAACCTAAATTTTTAGGTAATGTTAACTTGGGGAATTTGAAGAAATTTAAGTTTAAAATAAGTCGGACTCAGAAGGCGCACAAATTTTTATAAAGATCTTGTTTGAAAGTAATAAATGGTTGAAAGGTTTTCTCAATTGAATCTTCTTGAAGTTTTCATTTTAAACCAAAAGCAGCAGATGCCAGATGATGTTTTCTTCACAGATGATGTTAACTTTTGAAGTTCGTTATGAGGAAAGGAAAAGAATAGACAGATAGTAGATTCAAAGGTAGAATCTTAGAAGTTATGAAGTTTTCATAGAAAGCTCTTTTGAAGATAATGTATGATCAATCATTGTTCTCAATTGGGTCATCTTGGAATACTCGCTAGTTGGATTATTTAAACGTGACCAAAAAAGCATACTTACGCAACATTCCATGGTTCAGGACCAAGAACCCTTAGATACGTAAGTGGGTTCATAGTTCCAGCTCCAACCTGGAAAACAGTGTCAAACCTTGAGGTACGCCAACAATTGCATAAAACATCAACAAGCTATATTTTGTATTAAAAAACTAGTGAATAAGAACAGTAGGAGAACAGATCCACTCTTAGAACTAATTCACAAACCCGTAGCATAGATGATACGTCTTATACAAACATAGTAACATCCAATATCCACATGGTAAGAACTTTCATCCTCAGCTACAAATAACACCACAGCAATATGGCAAAGATATTCCCTCACAGGACATTTCCAACCTCACATTACATGTAGCAAATTCAAAATGATAAAGCTCCTATTGAAACCGCCAAAAAGGAAAATCCATCCATACTTCATCATTTGATTAAAAATTCCATCTTTGGAAAAAAAAAAAAAATGGTATAAAAAAAATTATGCTGAAACCAATATCGTCAGAAATACAAGAAGACCAAGACGCGAGTACCTCTGTGTTGCTACATTGCATCACAGCACATCCGACTGAAGCCCAGTATTCCTGAAAAACAAAAATATTAATGAACAACATACATAGCTTTAATCATCATGGCGATTTCCATCAAATTTTCTTCAAATAGACAAAAACGCGAACAGTACAGACATCAGAATCCTTTCCAGCAACATATTAATTTACAAATTTTACATCCACCCACAAAACAAACCTGGAGGCGTTGAATGGATTGTTGGAAAGTGAGAACAGATGATGACAGTCCTGGCTTCTGTTTCTCCTGCTCCGAATGAGTAGACACAGCAGGCGCAACAGAAGAAGAAGAATAATTGAAATTGCCGGAGGAAAAGCAATTCCGCCTAAACTTAAGAAGCGGAATCGGATTGATGAACAACGGCCCACGCTTCCGGTGAGAATTCTTCAGAATTGAAGTCACGAATGGCAGTGACAGCACCGCCATTTTCAAGAGTTAGCAGTGTACAGAATGGAGGATTGGGCAATGGCAAAGAAAGGGTTTATCCAAGAATTTACCGAAAAAATAAAAACGTGATTTTTCAATAGCGTTTGTAAAAGTTTACCAAAAAAAACGAATTTTACATTTAAGCGCTTTTTACATTTGGGCTGTGCTCAAGTGGGCTAAGGTTTTTTAACTTAATATTAGGCTCAGGCCCAAATTTACTGGGCCATATAATAAAGCACAAGCCCATTAAAGAGAGGCTGGCAATTGGATAGTAGGGGCATAAATGTAATTTAAGGCAATATAGATATTATATAAATAAATATAATATTGAAAAAGATCTCTCTGTTTTGTATACACGAGCTTGCAGATAAACCTCACTCACTTTCTTTCTCTCTCTCTACTGAGCATTGCGGCTAGGGTTTCGCCAAACCCTAATTTCCTCTCGATTATCCAGACAATCCTGTGCTGGTTTTCTTTCAGATCTGTTTATTCGATTTAAGTTAACCATGAATAAAACGGTAAGTTAATCTTTTTGTTGTGTAATTTGGAGTTGGGGATTTGTTTGCGTTGCTGCGGGGGGAGAAATGGCGACGCTCAACCCATTTGATTTGCTGGGGGACGACGATGCGGAGGATCCGTCGCTTTTGATTGCGGCACAGCAACAGAAGGTGGTTGAATCGAAGAAAACGCAGGCTGCGTCGGGTAAGCCTGCCGCAGCCGGAAAACAGGCGGCGACTCAGCCGAAGGCGGCTGCGCAGCCTAAGCTCCCTTCCAAGCCCCTCCCCCCATCTCAGGCTGGTCAGTTTTTAATAGATTTGTTCGGTGTTTTTGATATTTGCCAGCGTTTGTGGATTCCTGCCGTGAAATCAATTTAGAATCTTTCTTTTATCGGTTCTTTTTTTTTAATGAAAAAATTTAATTATTGATAGGAATTGGATTGAACTATTCTCCCAAAACAGGAATTTTTGCATTCGTGAATGGAACTATTTTTAATTTTGTAATAGAGGGAAACTAATGGATGTTTTGATTTTGAATATTTTTCTTCGAAGATGTTATGATTCGTTTGAAGTTTTACCAGAAATTGCAGTGCTTGCATGGTGTTGAAAAATACAATAACACACCTTATGTAAATAGATTTTTAAAGTAGTAGTTTCCTATATTGTGCACCAACTACAACTGTAGTGCAAAAGAATGAACATTATCTTGTCTTTTTGCATCTTTACTAATCTGACGTTCAAATAAAACTTAAATGCAAGTTCTCAAGAAATCGATTTTATGTTTCATGTTTAAAACTAGAAATTTGGGATTTTGCTCATTGCCCCTTTTTCTGATAATATTGGCCAATCAAGTGTAATGTTTGGCGATGGCCAAGATTTCTTCTTAGAAATAAATAAATATTTATTGGATGCAGGGTAGCCATTCAGTTGAATTGTGATGTTCTATTAAGTTTCTTTTGTAAACAATCATGTGAACAATTACTGGCAAATGAATATTTCATTTATCATAACTAGGAGAATCCAAAATTTGTGGATGCACCCAAGGCAAATCTCAAACATGTTCTGTGTATGGCTATTTCCAAATGCTGAAAAATTACTATATTATCTCTGCATTGTGTAGCTTCTGCCCGATTTAGTTCTTGTTCTTCCTACTAATTAATTAAACAGCATTATCACTATACTTCAAATTTCAATTTGTTATCTTATCTGCCTGTTTGCATATTTCTTATATTTGTTATCCTTTCTATTGTTCATCAATATAGTTCGAGAGGCCAAATCTGAATTTTCTAGAGGCGGCCGAGGTGGACGGGGTTATGGCCGTGGTGGACGGGGTACTGGTGGTGGATCCTTCAGAGACTCGGCCAATAATGAGAATTCCTATGGGAGCAGGGAAATAACCTCTGGTCAAGGTGCACCTGATGAAGTTGATGGGAGAAGGCCTTATGAAAGGCGTGGTGGCTATGGAGGACCTCGTGGTTCTTTCCGTGGTGGTGGTGGTGGTGGTGGTGGAGGTCGCCGAGGTGGTTTTAACAATGAAGAAGATGGAGAAGGAGATCAAGACCGCCCTCGCAGACCATTTGATCGCCGCAGTGGAACTGGACGTGGGTATGGATGATATTTTTTTTTGCTTCTCAGTATCATACTATCATTTTTGCAGTTTTAAAAATTAGATATATGTTTGTTTAATAATAACTTGTGGACATACAGGAATGAATTCAAACGGGAAGGAGCTGGCAAAGGAAACTGGGGAACTCAGGACGATGCAATTGTAGAGTGAGTAGTTATCTGTGCCTTAGTACCTTAAACTTCACTGATTCAATCTTGCATTAATTCATCTTTTGCTTATGTTTCCTTCACTGATTACAATTTTTATTTATTTTTTTAACTAGAGCATCAGAGGAAGTTCCTATTGAAGGTGAGAAACCTATTAATGTGGAAAAGCCCGCTGGAGATGAGGAGACTCCGGCAGATGGAGACAAGGAAGCTCCCACAAATGAAGCTGAAGAGAAGGAACCTGAGGATAAGGTGAAGAATGTGTAAAATTGTATTTTTCCCCTTTATCGTTACTAGCAATTCTCTCACTTTATTTCACCTCTAGATAAATGTGTATTTTTTTAATCATCGGCTTGATATTTGAATGCAGGAGATGACACTGGAAGAGTATGAGAAGCTTCAGGAGGAGAAACGAAAGCCTCTGCTGGCTCTGAAATCTGAGGAAAGAAAGGTCGATCCATCAGAGTTTGCAGCTATGCAGCCACTTTCCAACAAGAAATCCAACGATGATATATTCATCAAATTGGTGAGTCCATTTTTCACACTACCAAATCTTGAAGAACAGTTATTTAACTAGCAAAATCATACATTCTTACATCTCAAGGGTTTCCCCCGTCCCCTCTTTGCAGGGTTCCGAGAAGGACAAAAAGAAAGAGCTATCCGAGAAAGAAGAGAGAGCCAAAAAGGTACATTATTTTAAAACAGCCTCAGCATCAAGTTTGAAAAGACTACTTGATAATAACCTGAATCGGATAACTTTTTTTCTGAATATTATTGTTTTTCCCGGGTCTAGTCTCTGAGCATCAACGAGTTCTTGAAGCCGGCTGAGGGTGAGAGGTACTATTCTGGAGGGCGTGGTCGTGGACGTGGCCGTGGTTCTAGAGGAGGCTACAGTGGAGGCAGCGATACGTACAACAGTGCAAGAGCACCTGCAATTGAGGATCCCGGGCAGTTCCCGACCCTCGGTGGGAAATGAGAAGATGACAGGGCAAGGAGGTAAGTGGAATAATGGAGTCTTTTCTGTGTCGAAGAAGTTTTTAAGTTTATGGTTTTAAAATGTACATCTGTGGTTCCCTTTGCCATTGCCATTCCCATTCCCATTCCCATGTAGCATCATCATCTTCAGCTTTCCTTCCCCTGAAAAATTGTGTTTTTATGTTCTTTGCTTTGGTCTGAACCATAATTATTTCATGACTCGGATATGTGAAAAAACTCAGTTTTGTTTTTATTGAATGTGGACAAAAAAAAACACGTTTTCCTGTTTCTGTTACTTTTTTTTTATTATTGTGGGGGGAGTGGGGTGGGTGTGGCTATGAAAAAATGAAGTTTCATGAGCTCAATTTTACTTTGATGAGATCAAAGTGTTTGTTTTGATTGTGAATTTTTTGAGGTGGAAAATGGCACTTAGAATGTCATTGTCATGTTTTTGTTTTTAATTTTCCTCAAAGTGTTTCTATCAATCGCATTTTCATTCAAAGCGTGGTATTAATAATGACTTTACTTAAAAATACAAATCAACGGTAAATAAACAATCTTTCATTGAGTATTTGGGTATTTATTTTTGTGTTTATTTTTTATGATAAAAAAAACATATGTATGATATATATTCTTTTTACTAAATTAGCTTATAATTATATAACTCACCTTTTCAAAAAAGTTTTTCTACTTTTAATTTTCTTTATTTTTTAATTGTTATTTAAAAATTATTATTTATCTCACATATATAAATATATTTTATATTATAGTAGTTATTAATTGTATTTATATATTTTTGCTATTTTTATTTAGAATGATTTTTTTATAAATATTATTTAAAAAATATAATATGCATGTTAATGCAATATATATATAATATATTTTATTCATTAAAGAAAAATAACAATTAAAAAGAAAAGCTCCATTTTGTTTCAGAATTTTATTTTATTTTTTTCCGTTTAATTACTGTACTCATGAGTTCTTCAAAAAAAATTAGACTTTTTTTATTTGCATAGCATGACATTAAATCACGATGCAAACACAAACCAAAGTAGACACCCTCCCCATGCAGCTTAAAAGCTACTCTTAGTGTCACCATTTCAAATTGCAATTTACAACCTATAAAATAAAAAAGCCTAAAATGGCTGGAACAATTATACCCTCTACAACAACCATGCCAACATAGGTATATTTCTCGACTTAAAAATGATGTAATAATGTTCTACTATAACTATACTTCCAACTAGTCATGCATGCAGTGGATGAAAATTTATCTACCACAAAAAAAAAAAGTGTTAGTAACAACTTACATTTACATAGGAGGAGGGTTGGTCCATCTTCTCTTCATCTCGGATTTCCATCGAACCTCCTTAAGCTTTCCATCTAATCCATAATCCCTTTCCATTACAAGGTTGATTCCTTCATCCGAATACCATCCCACACCAATACAAAGGATCCCGTCCTCCCCCACGTCAACATAAGTAGTCACACCCCCCGGTAACCACAAGATTGTTACATCTTGCATGTCCAGCATCTCTTCCTCCCCGAAGTAAACAAGATTATCGGGCAAGCTTCTGTTCTTAAGATTTTCCGTGCAGAGGTACACGTATGGTGTGCTGCTGACTTCCTCCTCCTCCATTGATGCTGTGCCTTCGTCGTAAATTGGTGTGGCGCTTACCTCAAACACCTTCCATGATCCGCTTAGGTCAGATGGTTGGACCCTCTTCCTTTGAGAAAATGGCTTCAAATCCAGTTCCATTTCACTGTCACAGCAATTATCATCTTTTAAGTGTAATGAAGTTATACTTTAGCGACAAGATTTGAATTTTAATTTAAATAGTATTTTGATATAATGTTTTGTGAGAATACATAATGTATTTTTATTGAGAATCATGCTGTGATTTTGATTTGAAATCAAAACCAAACAAACCCTTGGATTTTTTAACAAAAAGAAAAAATTGTATACACTGTTCTTAAACAAACTTATGGGACAACAAATCCATCCAAAATTCAAAAATAAAAAATATAAATTCTTTGATCTGATACCTGGTGTCGGGGATATTGGCTGGACTAACCCATTCTTCTTCGTAAACAGCAACCCTTAGTATCTGAATATCTGAACCGCCATTGGTGAATTCAATGGTATGCACAACTCGCAATCTTTTGTGGCAACCTTTAACCAGACACTAGAAAATAAACAAGAATAAAGTAATGCAAATGAATAAATTATAATTCCTAGTTTTGAAATGAGGGAAGGAAAAAAAAAAGGATGATTAACAACCTAAATAAAGTTTAATAGCATTCGGATATAATGCTGGTTTTATTCAGTACAATAAGATTTATGATAAATGCACTTTTGGCATTCCATTAAAAGAAAAATGGCTCGAGGCTGGGGAGAATTGCATGGAGGTGACCTTGGTTCACAACAAAAAATTATTGATACCTAAAACTATCCTATATGTGTATCCAATACATTTAGTGAGGGAATTGGCGCCAAAATAGCAGATTCTAACATGTTAATATAATATATAAAACAAAAAGAGTTGTACGAATCAGTATCTTGGATGGCAAAAAATTTGGCAGGCATACCATTGATGAAGATGAATTTATTCATGTTTTCATCTGAAAGTGAAATCTGGTTAGAAATTAACATTTTTCAGTGGTATATTATTACAAATGCTATTGAGTGACAAATGTCAACCAATTGCCAGACAGAAAACGACTCTTGGTAAAACTTGCCATCATAACATACATGAGGTTGAGAAGATAAGCCACATAAAGTATAAGTAACAAAATACACTCGAGAGCATAGAGAATCATACTTGTTCAAACTTGAAAGTTGGGGAAAGGTAATATTTAGACTCATCAAATTCACCAATTGGAATATTAACTGGGCCTCTGGAATAAGATCCATCCTGCAAATTCATTTCCAAAAGTGATTAGAGGAAATCCAAACCTATGCGAAGTAATGACAAAGGGAGAAAGGAAAAATCATACATTGACGTCACTGCAAACATTTAATATGATGTAATTATATGCTTCCTAGGACATGGAAGAAATCTTGATTTCAGCGCATACCTCATTTGTGTTTGTCAAGTGATCATGTATTAAGTTATGTTATACTGATATGACAAATAGAGAATTTATGTCAATATGAAAACAAGTTGAGTGGTTTGTACCTCAAAGAAAACAAGACCGGGTTCCATACCCATGTCATCTTCTTCCATAATATCACTTTTTCCAAAGTCAAAAGATTCTATTGTTGGCAATGAATGATCCATCTGTCTTCCTCTGTCAGACGTCTCCTTTGCTGTGGAAGATGCACCGTATTTCTTGTTTCCAAAACCAATTCCATTATTTTTAGCTTCCCCATAAGGATTAAGCGTAACCCAGTTTATTTTTCTCTTTATTTCAGAATGCTGAATTCCAGAAGTAGATGGCTTGGCCTGAATGTGAGACAATGTATAGCAGTCAAATAAGGTTTCATTCGCACTCCCCATCTCAATTGGCTCCATTTCCGCAGTTACAGGAGAATACACTGCTCCCACTCCCTTCCATATCCCGCTGATGCTACTTGCAAACGTATGCCATGCCGGCCGAATAACTGGTTCCTGTTACAAATGAGAGTAAAAAATGACTGTAATATTAAACCAGCTCCACTGAGAAAAGTGAGAGTTTGGAATTTATGCAAATATTCAAACTATCGCACATTAAAATTTAAAGTTGGATCAAAATGTTATCAATTTGTGCTCCTATGGCATGTGTGGATTGTAAAATTTTAAATTTTCTCATTGAAATAAGAAATTCCAGAATAAACAAGGTGAAGTCAGAACAGAGGAATTTGAAAAACCAAAGAAAGAAACACCAAATGAAACTTGATATCTAATCCCGGGATTACCTACAACCTCACCATTTTTGCCTGAATTTTTCCATACATCACACTAGCTTTCAAGATACCTTGTGCAGGAGCTTATCACTTATGAAATACATTAGCTAGTTTTATATTATAGAGATGTAATGGATATCATCTCAGTTAGAACACAAGCAAATGAGAGAATCCAAAACTGAAGAAAATTAGGCAAATTGAATGTGCTCACAGGCAGCTGATAATACCTGCGTCTGTAAAACAGTTTCAACCTCCATCAACATGGTACCAGACACCAGAACTCGTTCACCTTTCCTGTTCGCACTCCTCACACGCTTACCTCCCCTTTTTCTCCGCGTCCTCGTTCTCTCCTTCCCCTCAACTTTCGATCTCTCGTTGTCAATACTCCACACATTGTCTTTCCCCTTAGCTTGAGCTCTTCCTCTCCCGCTTCCACCGGTAGCGTCACAATTCTCGATTGAGCTTTCACGGCTGTTCACATGGGGATTATTCCTGCCGCTGAAACTGCAGGAAATAAAAGGATAAGAGCGACACGTGAGGTTAGCTGCCGAGAAATTGGGTCGATGATCCGCGTGATTTCCAGAGCAGTGCCGCTGGTAGGGGGATTTCTGAAATAGACTAGTGCTGAAGGTTCTGCAAGCATCAATGCACGGCGATGTCATTGCTTTAGCTATGTGCGCGCTTAACAGAATTTGGTAGCTCGATTTTAGGGTTTAGGGTTTTGAGATTATTCTAGAAAGAATGAAACTGCAGTCACTCCCTCGGATAGGGTTGAGAATTTTGCAACGGCAGAGAAGTTTTGAATATGCTATGAATTTAACTGTTCCCTCACTCAACAAAAATTAGCTCAGTTAGCTCATAAAGTATTTAAAGTCGGCAAATAAAAATATATATATATATTTTATTAAAAGAATAAAATATAAAATGATAATGTGAATATTTTAAAATTTTAGTTAGTAACTATATAAAAATATATATATAATATATAATATAATAAAATTAATGGTATTTTTTTATAATAAGTATTAAATAAAATATAATACTACTAATTATTGAAATTTCTTTTTAAATAATAAAGTAGATTTAATCGACACATAAAAAAATATATATATAAACGATTGTAATTATTTTCGAGGGGATGGGATCATAACTATGATAGAGGCTCGGATTATACTGGAAGTTTTGGTAGTATTCATTATTAATATTATTATTTCCACTATCATTCGGGGGAGTGAGCCTTTACTAAATTAACTAGTTGATAAAGTAAGTTATATTAAACAAATTATATTTGACAAATAAAAATTCTACAGAACGAAGTTTGAATTCGTAATTTTACGATTAAGAGTCCATCTCAAATCATCAAATCATTATTCACGAGACTTGTAAATGTAAATTTTTAGGTAAAACAAGTCACGCTAAGGATGTGTTTGTTTTGAGGATTTTATAAGATTTTATTATTCATTCAATTTCTTTTTTTAAATATCAAAATCAAATATTTATTTTTTATATTATACTAAAAATCAATTTTACATTCAAAACATCGACAAATATTTATATCACATCGTACAATTATTTAAATTCAAATTTTTTACTATTCAAATACCAACTCAAAATCCAAATTCCAAACAAACACACACTTAATTTTTTACTATTCAAATACCAACTCAAACTAATTTTACTTAGGATGTGTTTGTTTGGGGTTTGGATTTTGAGTTGGTATTTTGAATAGCAAAAACTTTGAATTTAAATAGTTGTATGATGTGATATAAATATTTGTCGATGTTTTGAATGTAAAATAAACAAACATACACTAAATTTTTTACTATTCAAATACCAACTCAAACTAATTTTACTTAGGGTGTGTTTGTTTGGGGTTTGGATTTTGAGTTGGTATCTAAATAGTAAAAAAACTTTGAATTTAAATAGTTGTATGCTGTGATATAAATATTTGTCGATGTTTTGAATGTAAAATGAATTTTTAGTATAATATAAAAAAATAGGTGTTTGATTTGATATTTTTGGAGAAAAAAAATAAAATAAATAGTAAAAATTAAATTCAATCTCCCAAACAAACACACCCTAGGTAAACTATGCATGACAGATGAAGTTGAAGACGTCCAAGTTTGATGCCTAATGTGATAATCTTATTTGCTTCCTGAATTTGTTTACCCCATTATATATAATTAATTTTAATCAATTAAATTAAACAAATGATTAGATTAAAAATTTTCAAATAAAAAAGACTAAGTTTTATTGAAATTTTTTCAAAAACCTATTTCAATTTCACCTTCGTACTATTATAAATAACCAAATAAAGTTCGAACTTTCAAGAGTAAAGCAATAGCTAAACTCGCGGATTTGAGTATCAACGACTTTAGTTGAAACTCTCTGCAATACAGTAAGAAACGTTACCGGCCACGGTAAAGCAGAATACGAGTCCACGTGGCAATAGGTGGTTGGCCCAGATGGAACGGTCCCACTCCCGCGCAAAATGCAGCTTTCTAATTTCTGATTCTACCCCTACAAATCTCTAATATTACACCCAAACCTCCTGCAAATAAATTCAAGAGTAATCTCAGGTGCAGTTCTACTGCTTCACGTTCAACAAACTTCTTCACACACAAGATAGTCTGTGCTGATTTTCTCTGCCATCGGAACTGATTTAGAATGCGGTCCGTCGTCTCACACAGCTATATTCATGCGGCAAGTCTGTACTTCCACCAGCGGTGGGGAGTGCAAACGTTTAGAAGCTTCGGCAATCTCCCAATCCCGGTCCTTCAGGATCTTCAGATGGTAATGCAGTTTTTTTTATTGATTATGGTTTAAATGCATTTTTCTTATTGATTTTGGTTTTTCTTTCGGATTCAATGTATAGAAACATGTCATCAAATATGAACTGTTTAAAGAAGTGGAGGCCTGTGAAAATGATACGACGCGATTCGAATAAATCAAATGTGATAGCGGATGTATCTTTATAGATAAGGAGGGGGAAGAAACCTGAGATTATGAAGAACGTGATCGTACTGTACTATGCGAGTAAAGGTGATGAGCGTTTTGCACTGCTCATTGCTACCGTCAAATCTTTACATATATATGCGTGTGTGTGTTCCTTTTGGTGTGAAGCATTTGACCTGAAACCACACGAAATGACTTCACTCTAGATTTACGGAAAGAATTCCAACCCTAACTTCTTTTTTTGATGGTTTTATTCGGTCTGGAATGACATTTCAGAAAATATTTATATGGAAATTATGACTCTTTGCAAAATTACTCTTAAACTGCTTCATCTAACTGTCATTAGTATACCTGAACCATGGAAGAGAGCTTCAAATTAATTTAGTGCTGGTATGTACATATAATGAGTATTGGATGATGATTAATTTCACGACTGATATGGTCTTTCTTGATGACTCAGGTATACATGTTACAGAGTTTTGTATTCACAGGGTTGTCCCTGGGATACTTCTTTAGGCATAATGAGGTTATTGGGGGCACATATTCTGCAGTTGGATTGTTTGCTTTTATAGGTCTTCATTGCTTTCTCACTCAGATACAACCGGAGGTCTGCAATCAATAAAATTTGCTTCTCAAAATGTTCCTCTAAATTCCTAACTGATTTTAACAAGTTTCTTGAAAAGCAGGAGACTAGAGTTCTTGTTCTTCTCTCTATATCATTCTTTGGAGGAGCATCTTTTTGTCATTGGATTGTTTTGCTCTTTGGCATCGAACCAGGGTAAAAACAATTCTAATCCCCTTCTTGATAGTGTTAAAAGTTGTTGTTTCTCAATGTTATTTCTGATTTTCTTCTGAATTTGCATCAAAGATGTAGAAATTTTGTCATTACCCTGAAGTTGTTTGACACTAACACATGAGTTACCCTGAAGTTCGATGGCTAGCGCGCTCGTGGGCATATCTCTGGGCTTTCGCTGTTACTGGGCTGCAACGGTGTGGCTGAAGCGCATCGATATTCTATACTACAGCGGTATATTAGTCTCGGCTCCTGTGGTCCTCATGTGGACTTTTGCATCCTCCATTGAATTCGGTGGAGTCTCTCGGCTCACACCTATATGGACAAATGAGGTAAATGGACATGTTCCCATTTGCCAGCCATTCTTGTCATGTCAGTCTCAAGTTCTAATGCTGGCTCAATCTTTTGTTGTAGATGCTTCGACATACGTACTTTGGGACCATGCTGTTCTTGCTCTACGTGAAGATATACAGCGAGGTGTTGGTGCAGAGAATTGTGATGGGCGACCATGACTGTGTGAGTCAGGCTATCCTTCTCTTTACTGGCTCTTTTGATGTTTTTATTCTTTGTGTTGGGATCATACCATGCATTCTGGTTCCTAAACTGTTTCGTGTGGGCCTACGAGCATTGAGGTTCCTACACCGAAATCTTGAAATCTTAATCGAAGAAAATATGTGATCTCTAACATTTCATAGTTGGTGCCATTTGTGCCTGTGAGGCTGTGAAATTTTAAGAACAGAGGCAGGCTTCTGTAGCTCTGTACAGCATACTTTTGTGCAATGGAGGAATAGTAAAAGCGTGTTTTCGCTTTTGATGGGTAATTGTAGAGTCGTGTTTAGAATTTTGCTTCCTTTGATTTATATTGTTAAGAGAATCGTAGTATTAAAGCAGGAATAAATAGGTAATTTAACTCTATGAGGCACCAGGCCCAGGCCCAGGCCCAACCTATACTCCCGGGCGGGGGCGGGGGCGGGGCGGAAGCCGCTCTCTATCTCCCGCCCTTTTTTTTTGTGTAAGTCTTAATTTTCGTCATTCCCGCGATCCCGTTATCTTCGGCACGGCGTGGATGTTGAGGAGTTGGTTTTACAGAGAATGGCGCGAGCAACTCAGCGCCGCAGTTTGTATTGCCGTTCTCATGGCGTCATCTGGAAAAGGTATTCATTCTCCCCTCTTTTCCTTGATTTTAAGGATTGTTCCTATTTGTAATTTTTCAGTATTTATGTTCCATCTGTACGTGTATATATATATATATATATATATAGATTCATTATCATTTCCCCTTCCTTGATGTCTTTGGATTGTTCGCATCAGATTTGTAATTTTCCAGTATTTACATTCGAATTTATGTACAGATGTTCATTGTTGTTTTTCAGTATGCACATTCGGTTATACGTATATATACACACGTATTCATTGTTCCATATCCCTTGACCTTTTAAGTATAAGCTCTTTATATGTGATTTTTCAGTATAATCTTTATGTATATACAGTGTTGGTAATGTGATAATTATATATGTACTTAGCGTTATTTACTCTTCCCTGAAATTTTTAGATTGCTCAGTGGATATGCATATGATAATGGTTGAAAAATGATTTTACCCTACAATGGGAAACTCTTTTCAATTTATGAGTTAGAACTTCACTAAATGATTTGGTTCTTTTGAGAATTCTACTAACTAAGATGATCTTCAGTTTAAAAAGATGGTCTGATAACAAAGGAACAAGCATGTCCTTTTTGAAATTATTATAGAACTACAGCTACTATAACTGATCTCTAAAATTTTACTCAGATAAAATAGAAATGGTCTCTGCTTCATTTGTGATTCTAAAGCAATTTTATGTATCGATACAGGTATATGCATGCCTCGGCTCGGAGGCGATAGCGGATCTGTGAAGCATCATGCAATTCGTTTCATCTGTGAGTTTTTCTACCCTCCTTTGCAAAAGCTATATTTTTCCTTGCATATTTAATACTTTTTTTTTGTGTTTGATTGGATCATATTTTATACTTTTAGATATATTTGAAATGGTTAATCAAGTGAATATTCTAGGCAGACTAATTAGTCAGTTTTGGATAATTCTAGAATAGATTTATAGTTTTTAGTGGTCCTAAGAATTAGTCTCTACGGTTAATATTCAATAACTAGGTGACTTAGTATAAGAGAGCTCTTGCTTTTCTCACATCTCTAGTAGGTTATACATCTCTCATAGGTTACACTCTAGTACACATCCACATATTATTATTTGATATGTTATTATTTAATTTAAGTAATTATTATTGACAAACATTCGAAAAATGAAACAAGACTAATATACATCATTAAATGTGTTAAATTTGTAATAAGTATTACAAATGATTGTAGAATCATTAGTCTTCATCTATTTTCCGAGTTTTGCAAACATGGAATCTCCTATAAAGTGGCTTTGGTGCTCTTTCTGCAGTGTCAAATCCTCTAATACAAATAAAACCTGGGAATATAATAATAATAAAAAAAAAAAAAAACATATCAGCAAAATACATAGAAATAAAACAATAACAATTTATGTAATATACAAGAACTTACCACTTCTAAAGAGACACACAATCCATTCCATTGGCATGCCTACATTAAAATACATACAATGGTGAAATATATCCTATTTTTCTGAATATACACATTCATGATAGATTGATTGTAAAAATTATAGTATATTTTTTACCTCGACAAATTGTTGTTGCTGATGTTCCGCAATATAGTGCCCGTCTTCTTAGATTCCAAATTGATTCTCTAGGAATGACCAAAGGGACTCTACTAGATTCGTAGTCAGCAAAAACCTACATAGATGTACAAAATGATTTCTTGCATGATAAAATACTAATTAAAACGATTATAAAATACCAATTAAAACGATTAGAATGTAATAGCTTCGACTATACCTCATTAGTTTGAAAATATGTCCCGTTGAGAGGAAAATAACCTCTATTAGCCGTTCGGCATGGGATCTATGCATGGATAGAAATTTAATTATCCAATTAGTGATAGCTAATAGAAAAAAGTACAATATGATATGAGTTATAACCTTTACTCACCAAAATTGTCCCGTGGACAACCCTGTCATTGTTGTACTGGACAATTTCTCCTGTACACGGATCGCCATTTGAATTTTGACTACTGCTTTGTGGTTGGGAAGAATTCATCAAATCCTCTAGCATATTATACAAACAAAAGACATAAAACACCAATGTGGTAAAAGAATAAATCATCCATATAATTCAAAATTAAAAAAACAACTTTTAAGTTTAATATCGTAATATATACACTTAAGAAAAATTCATAGGAAAAAGTTCAGAAAAATTCATAGGAAAAAGTTCAGTTACCGGGGGTCCAAATAGCGAGAAGATAAGGGCATGGATCATCAGGCTCTCGTTTTTCAAACTACAGACACAAAAAATAAAAAAATAAAAAATCATAATTATTAATACATTCCAATATACATACATATATGTAGTTATAGTGAAAAAAAATCTAACCCTAGCCAAAATGGGATGTGAATCTGGAAGCTCATACCTGCAATGAAATAAAGAAACAATTATTATAGCCAACATGGCAATCCATAATTTAATTTTTCAATCTACCCACAATGATTCACAACATATACTTACACGTGGTGCACTGTTCGTAATCGATTCGCATACTTCAATTTAGGCATTGGAATTGATGCAAATTCCGGACATAATGTCGCCAGTTCTTTGGACACGTTTGCATCCTCGTCATCCATGACAGCTGATGTATTTTCCAAAAACACCCTGTCGTTAAGTTTTACTGTCGGAATCTCTTCATCATCTGACTCATAGCCAAAGTCTTCAATATCTCTTTCTAGTAGTGTCTCTGTTAATTCTCGCTCCGGAGACGCTGGAAGTTCTACAATTGGTTCACAATTACTAGTATGGCATTGGTGTGCAACTCTAGGAAAATCACCATTGACCTCGGAGATCATCTCCAGATTTGTATGCTCCATTGGTTTGGAATCGGGCGCAACAGATGATTTGGTGTCACTATTTTTGCCCTTAGAGTTTTCAAGCCTGAGATTGCCACTGCAATCAAAATACACACAGACAAATTTTGATTAGTTTTCCTAATTGGTATATTCGGAAAAAAAAAAATAAAAAAATCTACACAAACTCTAGAATATCGAGCATTAGGATGAGATAAGAAAGAACCTACTATATAATAGCATCATGAAATAAACACTAAATCCATCAATCAAACCTACCTGGATTGTATTTGTTATAAATTTATAATAAAACTTATCAAATGATGGGATGCAAACCTCGCATATGCACTGGCGAAGTGTCTGCACTCTCCTTTCATCGGACATGCATTACAGTTTGGTAGTCTCTTTGTGCAAAAAATCTGTATAATTCCAAAGCACATTGTATTCTATCAATACTGCAATTCTAATTAGATAGAAAAGCATAGAATATCAATAATTCTACATACACATATATATAAAACACAAAGAAAGGCTGACCTTGCCAAAAGTAATCATTTGATAATGGTACTCATACCTGTGAAAAGTAATAAAATTTTTGGTTAAGTACCAAGATACACCAACAAAATGGAGTGAATATACATTTATTTCGAAAAATACAGAAACCCAAAAAGAGTAGTTTTGTTGAGTTACAATATCAGCTGTGTGCGATTGCAAACACGTGGCCAAATGTACTGTTGGATGGTGTCCATTGGTGGGTAGCTGCACCAGGCGAGTTACAATACAATCAACAAAATCTTTAATGAAAAATAACTACTGATTGTTAAATAGTCGACTGTGAAATACTTACTCGTTTAGAAGGTGTATCTGAATATCCCCAGGCAATGGCTTTAGAGGGACCCATCCAAGTCTCACCAAAATTCGCGCAACATTAGTATCAACCTTGAGCAAAAAACGATAGCCTCATTAGATTACCCTTAAAAAATTAGTATATATACATCTAAAGAAAACTTACTGGAAAGGCATGATGTCGAAGGCATAATAGCCTCACGCACTCTACGCTCTTTAGACCAATGCCTGTATAACTCAACAAGTATTTTCTACAAAGGGGGAAAAAAGATCATGAGAAAGACTAAGTAGCGAGTGAAGTTTTTAATCACGATGTAGGTCAGTATGCCCTCTTACTTTGCCTCATCTGGTGGAACATCCCTTAGCCACTCTAGGTCAATACTCCCGTGATCTTTAGCTAAACGATTCAGGAAATCCTACAAAATTCAAATGATACAATGATTTCCATATCCATGAATGAGAAATATCCAGGCTTTTGTCAGAAAATATCACCTTGATTCTTAGAGCAAGAACATTGTTCATGCCCCTTCCTGTGATCACTTTCGCCACTTCTTCAACCGGTGCTCGTCTAACCGCTTCCCAATCCACAGAATCTCGATCATAGTATGTTCTTTTTTTAGACCTTCCACTGGAATATTTTGTCCTCAACTCATCCCAATTAATTTCGGTTTCCTGTGTCGCATTTTCTTTCGCTTTGGCTTTTACAGACATGGGTTGGACGGAAATTGCTCTTGCACCTTGTTCAAACTCAACTTCATTCATGGGGTTGGATGAAAGATGTTTCTCAATAACACATAATTCCCCGCACTTGGTTGAAGATGATTCGGCTAATTCCACATGTTCAATTTGATCAACAATATAATCATTTGTATCATTACTACCACCATTCATATCCACGATTGGAGCTGGATATTTTGCAGCAAGATTCATGAAGGCCGAACTTCAAACAACAAAACGACATAATTAAAGAAAGAAGAAGATAGTACGAACAATGTAAAAGTATCAGAATGATATTTACCTTGAGAGTTGATCGCTAACATTTTGAGTCAAATAGACTCCAACCACAGAATCAACAACCGACCCTTTCCATGGTGAGAACCGCCTATTTCCTGAAAGTAATTAACTTCAATGGTAAATAATATAACAGACAGTGCCCAAATGAACATTTATAATAAACAATAGTTTATATTAAGGACATAACAGCACTCAAATATTTTAATCATATATAGCTTGACAAAAAGAGAAAAAAAAAAATAAAAAGAAAACTACAGCAGCCCATGATACTTTCCCATTACATTCTTCTGGTCGTATGTCTATAAATAATTATCCAAGAAGAGAAATTGACATCCTGAATAACTACTCAACATTGTAAGCAATGTTGCTATTAAGTACATATATTAGTTTCTATATTCTTTCAATGCAATTCTCTTTAAGAACATTGAATCACAAAATATATCAGCGAGACATGATAAAATCAATAAACTCTAACAGAAAAATATCATTTTATACTATCAATACCTAGAATAAGATGCATTCGTGCAATGAATGAGTCCACTCTTCCACGGAATATTTCTCTTTGCTGCCTCCAATATTCTTCTCTATCACTGTTGGATGGACCAGGTCCAGTATCTTCACTGCTGCCATTTTCAATCAGTTGGTTCCAAACTCTCATCGTCTCTAAATCTAGATCAACTTTTGGCTGTGGTTGTTTCGGCTTCTTGGAATCCGATTTTTGTTTAGAAGTCACAAGTGCAAGTTCACTTGATTTTTCTTTGGAAGTCACAAGTGCAAGTTCACTCGATATTTGTTTGGAAGCTACGAGTGCAAGTTCTTTAGATTTCCTTGTGGGAGTCACAGAAGCATTTTGATTAGAATGATCTCGCACCACAAGTTGGTTGCATGCATTGTGTAAAGGCTTCGTCCTCCTCCATTCAAATTGGTGATTTGAATCACCAATGCGTAAAGATTTAATCTTCTTCGCAAGCTCCTCAATGAAACTTTCTATAACAACTAACAAGCAAGAACTCAAGTGAGACACTTCAACATATTCCACAAGAAAATGTCTAGTTAAATGTAAAAGAATAAAGTCTTTAAAGATTAGAAACTCTACCTGATGTGAAGAAATCTACTCCACGAAGTGGGCTTTTGATGACTACTTTCACGTTAGCTACCTTGGAGGAACGCTTTTGGGCTTTATGCGTGACTCTAATTCCATTGCTTCCGATTTTGGTAACTCCCAAAAGACAATTCTTTGACTTCTGTTCACAAGAGGTATTAACTATGTATCATGAATTTACAAAACAACAAGAATTCACAATTAAAAGCTTCCAATACCTGTTTTGTAGCAAATAATTTAATTGAGGAAAGGTCTTTTCTACGGGAAGATGTATTAGATCTTTTCCGTTTAATAAAATTCACGGTCGCATCCAAACATATTATGTTCTTCTGCCTTTGGGCGGATGTAGTAATTTCTTCCCTTTCGAAATCAACTTGACTACTCAAATTCGGATAAAATTCTATAATGTTCACACCTTTAGCAGAGCAGGTTAAGCTCTTTTGCTCTTGGCTGGGTGCAATAATTTCTTCCCTTTCAAATCCAACTTGACTACTAAAATCCAATGATTTTTTTTTTATAATGTCCGAATCCATCTGCGCTTGGGTGGATGCAGTAATTTCTTCCCTTCCAAAATCGGCGTTGCACTCAATCAATGAGTTCTTCCCTTGACTCCTCAAGTTCAAAGATTTCATTAAACTTTTTTCTATAAATTCCGAACCCACTTGCTTCTTCTTGCTTCTCTGCCTTTGGGCCCGCGAAATCTTCCCTACAAACATGACGAACTTATCAACTACAGCTGCTCTTTTCCTCATCGACCTTTTCCTCTTGTACACATACGGACAATTCGGACCTATCTTTCTGATGCTTTTCAAGCAGCCATTAGTCCTAAGTATTCTTCTGTACACCTTTATTTTGGATTTGTCATTAGACTGTAGCTTCGCCGATTCGGGCTCACTTCTCATTATCCCATTGCTCTCCTCCATTGAATTCTGATCCTCCTCAGTAATGCAATCTTCCTGTGGCTTAGTATCCACTTCTGCTTTCTTCTCGACCGAGACATTCAAGCCATCCTTTTTAAACCCTACTTCATTCCCATCACATGCCTTCAAATTCTCATCCACATTAAAATTCAGTTTCCTTTTTTTCGAACTTGTAATGTGATCGCCACCACCCACATTATTCTTCTTCACCGGCCTCGGTGTCTTCGGCTTAGGTGTCGAAGCCAAAGGCCGAGTTTTTTTTGTCTGGGTTTGACTCCGAGGCTTACTAGGCTTTGGTTTAGTTTCATCGAACACCTTTGGCCTGTGCTTCTTCATCTTCATTCTCTTCCGAGGCGGCATTGCCTCTCTGATCTTCTTCTTCTTCTTCTTTTGATTCTTATTCATCGACGTGAAATTCTTATCTGCTTCCTTATCTACACAAATAAAGTAAAAAATAAAATCATTAGTGTTGACGAAAATTACAAATTTTGAAAAACTGATAATAAGTTTTACTAACCCATGGAATCCCCAGGGTTCGCACAATCAGTCGCCGTCGCCGGCGCCGGCGCAACCTTAGTCGGCAAGGATTCAAAACCTTCAAATTGGGAACCACGCCCCCAGTCCTCCAATTGCGTAAAACCGCTGCTCTCAGTTGCCATGGCGGTTCCAAATTGAACGTGGGGGTTCAATTCAAAATTAGAGAAGAAAGTAAAAAAAATGAAACCCGATGGGAGTTTGGGATGAAAGGAAAAAGAAAGTATGAGTGTGATTTGGAGTTTGAGTAGAGACTTAGGGATAGATTTTGGCTACCTACCTGGTTTCCTTACTTCCAATTTCCATGAGCGTTCGTTCTGAGTTTGGTTCGTCGTCCAACAGAATGGAGAATGAGGCGTGGGAAGTGGGAGTCAAAGCCTCGGCAGTTTCTCACTTCTGTTTCAGTCTCTTTCTCACTCCCAACTTTTTTGCTTTTTTTGGTTATTTATATTACTTTTCAGATTAACTTATAATTAAGGGTGTGTTTCTTTACGTGAATTTTGGGAAAATTGGAGTTTGAATTTGATTTTTATTTGAATTTTGCGATGAATTTGAATTTTGATGATTAAATTTGATTAGAATTTAAAGAGTTTTGATGGATATTAATTTGATAGATAATGAATAAAATAATATAAATATGTATTAAATTTAATCAATAAAATTTATATAGTATGAATTGATTATAAATTTATATTATATATCCAACATATGTATATTTAAATTTTTATTTTTTTTGTATTATAGATAATTTTTTTTTTCATATAAAAACACATATATATATATTATATATTGTTTTACTCTATAATTGTTATATATATATATATTAAATAAATAGTTTTTAAAAAATTATATTTAAAAAAATATATTGCAGCATCTGCTGCAGGCTGCAGCAATTGTCGCTACTTGGGGACCCGGTCCGGTTTTGGCAAAACAACTGTGCAAATACAGTTGTTTGCACAGCTATTCTGCCCAAATTGAGTTTGTTTTGATATAATTTGGAAACTTTTGGTATTTAAATAATAGATTATGAAATAAAAATTTGGATATTCAAATAGTAAAATTTGATATTTGAGTTGAAAGAAACAAACTCTGAGATAATTGTCTATTCATTTTATTCAGATTTGTTTTTGGATGTAAGTGTATCCATTTTTTTTTCTTCTATTTTGAAATAATACTTTAAAAATAAATATCTTAATATTTTATTGCATTTTTTAATATAAAAGTAAAAACTACAATATAAATTAAAGATATATTTACTTTGTATTTATTATGTAAATGTAAAAATTGTATTGTCTCATTCAAACTACTCTCTCGGTCTCGTAACAAGGGTGTCATTTGCATTTTATACGTAGATTTCTTAATATTAGTATTATAATAGATTGTAGTGAAAATTACGAAAATATCCCTATTAATATTGTGTAATATAAAAGTAACTGTATTTGTGTAATATAGTGTAAATTGAAAGGATATTTATTATGTTAGGTAGGTAGTACAATTACTAAATTAGAAAATGGTAACTTTGTTTTGAGACGGACAAAAATGAAAAATGACAACTTTTTATTTGAACAGAGGGGAGTATGATTTTTTTGCAATGAAAGTGTAATTTAATGGCGAGTCCCATCTAGTCTAACAAAAAAAATACTAATATCTATGTAATTTATTTTTTTTTCTTATTATTATGTTTTTTTATTTTGTTATATATATATATTTTTCTTATATATGCATATTTTTATTATAAAGCCCAAATGTTCAAGTAAGGATTTTTTTTTTGTATGTTTTTACATAAAAAGGTTTAAATAAAAAAATAAACAAATAGTGTGTTTTGTTGTGATTTTGTTTTTTTCATATAATTTTTAACAAAAATATATTTTATAATTTCTTACAAAATATTATTTAAATAAAAATTTAAATTAATATTTCAATTTCAAATTATAATCAAACAAACCTTTTTTAACATATTTTTATGAAAACTTACTAAAAAGAATTCACATAAATTTATATGAATATATATTATTTCTACACTGATAGAAATAAATAAATTAAATACAGTATATTTTAATTTATGTTGTCTTCTCTCTCTACCTTTTATATCAAAGTTGCAATGAATATTAAAATATTATATTTTTAAAAAATAAATTTAAAATAGAGGTAAAACAAACAATAAATCGGGTAGACAGTTTTATTCAAAAATCCAATTTAATAATTAGTATATTTTATTCCACAACAAAAATTTTAATTCCTTAATAAGAATGATTACATTTAATTAGTGGATCATTTGAAGAAAAAAAAAATTAATAGTGGAAGAATATCTAACAAATGCTATAAGCCCATAAGAAAATGAAGATTAGACTATAGTAAGAAAAATATAATTTTGTTGCGGTAAGTCTCAACTTCTATTATTTTAAACATCTAAGTGAATTATGTATGAAATACTATTTTTTTTTTGGATTGTCATCCAAAAATATTCTTTTTTTTTTAAGTGAAAAATTATTATATTTTTGTATTTTCTTTTACTATAAAATAAATTATTATTCACTTTTATTAAAATTCATGTCCGAACAAATGAGGGACGGATCAAGTACTATATAACATTAATAATAAACATTTGCTCTAAGTTGTCTTGACGTTGTTATTGTTGTTTACTTCCATCAATCAAATCAAGTTTCTAGTTGGGCCGACAGGGGTGGGCCCAAAGCCCACCAAACGCTACCAATTCGGCCCACTTAAAGTTGAACGAGCCCATTGTACCTTCCTGCAAATTTATTATCCATTAATGTACCTGCTTTTGGACCATTCCACTTTAACCTTTGCCAACCCATTTTCTATTATTATTATTATTATTAAAAAAAAACTTTATTTTTAAAGTCTTGGTGGTCTTTTTACTGCATCCGAAAAGGCTAGCAATTTTGAGCATAATAATTCGTAATGTCTCAAAAAGTTCAATGCCTTGGGAGCCCATCTCACCTGTAAAGTCAATGCCAATAATATATTGGTATGTTTAAGGGTGTGTTTGTTCGAGGGATTTGTTTGGATTTTCACTATTCATTCTATTTTTTTCCTTCAAAAATATCAAATCAAACATTTATTTTTTATTTTTTATATTATATTAAAAATCAATTTTACATTCAAAACATCACATCAACACCTATTTATATCACATCATACAACTATTCAAATTCAAAATTTTTACTATTCAAATCCCAACTCAAAATCCAAACCCTCGAACAAACACACCCTAATGTAATCCACTGTTTAGTTTAATAGATTATTGCATAAATTATTAAATTTACCTAAAATATCTACATTATTAATAGAATTCAAAATAACTTTTTAACATATATATTACTTTAGGATGACTTAATTTCATTCACAAGAAAGTGATTAATAATCTCCAATTATATTAGTATAATATTCTATTGGATTTTACTTTATTTTGGAGTATAATAATATATAATAAATCTAAGCAATACTAATAGATGAATGTTGGCCAAATATATCTTATAATTTTATAGTATTAATAGTTAGTTCCAATGTTTGAGGATTCTCATTTATTTTCAATCAAACAATATTATTTTTATTTATCATATCATCACAATGAACACGCAATTTATTAATTGATTAAACATATCTCTAAATAAATAAATATATATATATATATTAAAAATAATAAATGGGTTCAACTAAGACCAACAACAATTTGGAGCTCCACTTAATAATTTGTGGTTGGACGTACTCTTGCCTTTTTTATCACCATATTTATTTATTTATATTTTAATACAAAAGTTGAAGCATTTGCGTGTCTTGTTTGTGTTTAAATTGGTATGGATTTTGTTATTTTTAAATAAAATTGTTATTAAACATAATATATATTTTTATTGAAATAAGTAAAATTTTATAGAAAATATACTCCCTCAGTTCCGATGCAAGGTTGTCATTTATTTTTTCCATGTAGATTTTTGAATATTCATATTATAATAAGTTGTAGTGAAAAGGACGAAAATATCCCTATTAGTATTGTGTAATATAAAAGTAATGACATTTGTGTAATATAATGTAAGTTGGAAGGGTATTTATTATGTTAGGTGAATAGTACAATTACTAAATTAGAAAATGGTAACTTTGTTTTGAGACGGACGAAAATGAAAAATGACAACATTTCAATTGAATGGATGGGGTATATAAAAAAAAAAAAAAAAGAGCGTTCTAAAATGACGATTATTTTATTAGTTTCTTAAAAAAAGAGATATTTATAGTAAATAGGGATATAGTGTAGTATTACTAATCAAAACTTGAAAGGCCTATATGATGTACAAATCACTCCCTATTAGTATTGTATAATATAAAAGTAATGACATTTGTGTAATATAATGTAAGTTGGAAGGGTATTTATTATGTTAGGTGGATAGTACAATTACTAAATTAGAAAATGGTAACCTTGTTTTGAGACGGACGAAAATTAAATATAACTACATTTCAATTGAATGGATAGGGTATATATATATATAAAAAAAAAACCGTTCTAAAATGACGATTATTTTATTAGTTTTTTAAAAAGATATATTTATAGTTGTAGACAAAAAAATTGTGTTATATTTTTATAAACACAAAATTTGTACAAATTATATTTGTATTTAAATTTAATGCGGGTCCTATTCTCTATTCGGATCCTTTGATTCTCTCTCCGGGTCGATCCATTTTTCCAATTTGGATTTGGGTGGCTTCTTTGATCCGAAGGGATTTTGGTCTTCGGTTTGACTTCGCCGGCTTTTGAAGGACTTTGGTATCCATGTTGGCGATTTTGATCGTCGGCTTCGGATTGATGCCTCCTTTGGATGATCCGACGGAATTTGATCTTTGAGGGAGAGATTTAGTGCTCCATAACGCTTTTGGCGGCGTGTCCCTTTGACTTTTGGATCGAAGAGGGCCTGGTTTGCGCCTTTTATGAAGAACGCGACGAACATCTTCAAGCTTTGGGAGCGACTTTGGAGGCTCTTCCTTGGCTTTGATGGATTCCTCGATAGCTTTGAGAGATTTGATCCTTCCTCCGGCTCGGACATACGACGAAGAACGTTAACTTCATCGATTCGTCAACCAATATTGGATCATTTGTCCAAATCGGTGACTTTTCGACGAAGAACGCTTCGAAGGACACGAAGAACAATGAAGAACATTGCAGAGAGTCTAGAGAGACTTACCCTTGCGCGAGTCTTCAAATGAACTTCGGTCTCTAAATGAATTGGCCAAGGCTCCTATTTATAGGGGAGGGTGGCCTTGGCTTCCTTTTCGGATGGTGCCACGTGGATGGAAAGATTTTATAATCTTTCCTTTTCCCTCGGATGCCGTTTTCCATTTTTGACGGATTTGATTATGCACCTTCCTTTCTCGTCAAAATCTTTATAT